TTCAACAGCAAACAACCCCCAAAATTAGCAGAAAAAGGGGAGCTGCTTCATATAGCTCTCTAAAAATCAAGTAAGATGCTAGCCCTCAAGAGTGAACAGAAACACAAGACATTTAGATCAGGATTGTCAGTACTGGTCAGCATTAACTCAGTACTGTCGAAGTTACATTTTTCCCGACCATGTATCTTCCAGAAGGGTTCTACCACAACTCCCATCATTCTGACTAGAAGGCCAAGGTTTGCAGGGGTGCAATTAAAAAAAAAAAAAACAGAAATCCAAAAACTAAGAGGTGACCACAAGAAAAACAAACCCACAGGACCTGAGAGGTTACCACGAAGCATGGGCTATGTAGTGCCAACCAGAAGAGAAAAGCTGAAAACTAGTACAGAGAAGGAGAGATGCTTAATTTTACGAGATTTTATTGTACTTAATACTCATAGCATCTTGGCAGCAGGCCGGAATCCCGAATAGGGTGGAGCTCTCTGGCTCGTGCAAAGTCACTTCCTGGTCACCTAGGGCGAGTACCGACCTTTGCCAGGTGATATTCAACTACTTTGCTTGGCCAGGCTAGTCAGCCTCCAGAGCAGATTATGACCTTTCGGGGGGAAAACCCTGGCCAGGTGGCGATTTTGTTTGCTCAATTCATTGGAGGGGGGGTGACGGCTCAGCAAACCCAAAGGGAGAACCGCTGCCCTTTTAAGGCCGCCCACGATGCCATCATTCGCACACATGACCGGCATCAAGAAACTCAATGCAATTCGCCCGAGGTATCCACCAGGCTGGGGGTTGATGCCGTTCTTTCCTGCCCGCTTGGGCAGGAGGGCCATCGCGAGCCTGGGGGGGGGGGAGAAGGCAGGGTCACCTCCCGGAGCAGCAATTGAAAACAAGCCCAGGAAGACGGCTTTGTCTATTCTGGGAAGAAGCCGATCTAATTCCACTCCCGGACAGAACTCAAGGGATTCTCAGCATCGCCCTGTTCGGCTGACCTTAATCTCCTTTGAAACCCTCGACAGATGGCCTCGCCATTAAGAGCCGAGAACCAGCCCCAAAAGCAGGGGCCGCCTTGTGCCTCTGGAGACCCCGGGGCCCTGGAGGAAGAGGGTGCTCGAGAAACGAAGAAATCCAAAAAGGCGCCTCTAAATTTGGGAACCGGGCCTCTCTCCTCCTCCTCCTCCTCCTCCTGCTCTCGCCTTCCGATTTCACTCATCAAAGGCCGTTTGTGTCTTTTTTCATCGGCAGGAAGTTGGACGTCCAGGCAAAACCGGGACAGCTGGCGGAAGAAAAATCCAGAGCGAAGACGTGGGAAAAAGAAGGAGGGGGAAAAAAAAAAGACACACAGAGCCAAATACGTGAGGGGAGGCCCGTCGGTCAGGTCAAAGCTCCCTCCTCGGGGTATCAGGAAGCGTTCCTCCCAAAGAAGATGACTAGCATGCCAGTTCCGGACGTGTTCTCCCCTCTCTCCCCTGGCGCACGTAGACACTGTCTGGTCCGCAACCCCTCCTGCCCAAAATGATTGTTGTTATTATTACAAAGCGTGTTCACATTCGAACCCCACCTTGCATCGGATCAGTGAATAAATGCAGAAATCATCCACCCTCATTTTCCTGCCGTCACAAAGAACATGGTCCGTGGTGGGGATGCTGGGATAAGAGCCATGAGGACTAGAAACAGAGGTACTTTTTAAAAAAGTAGAGAAGGCCCAAACAAAGCAGGGAAAGAAAAATCACAGACCTGTCAGGGTTTTGCATGAAAAAGATATTCCCTCGTCTGAGAGCTTTCAAGGAAAGAGGAATGTTTGTTTCACAGAATAAAAACAAGACAAAATTAGTCCCGTCTACTTCTTCGTTGAATTAAAATGCTTCTGGTAGAAATTAGACAAGTTATGAAGCACAAAAAAAGAGATTATTTTACAGATATTTCTGAATCATGTAACCTGGATGCTAACTGACCAATACCTAAAAATGCTCAGTGTTTAATCTTTAATAATAAAAGGGAATGCATGCCATAGCTTCAACAATCAGAATGACAGAAACACATTATAATGGTATCCCAGCCATGTGATTATTTCTTTTAAAATTGATTAATTAATTTTAATTAGATTTATTTTGTCGCCTGCAATACCGTCTTCAGCCACTAGGTGCCAGGCAATCCCTAAGTAGAGCAGAGGAAGGGGAAGACAGGTGCATTCCTCTAGGGGGCCTCTAGTCAGGTCTATGTGCTGTTTTCGCACACAAGGCCTCCAAATGATTTGAAGAGTTTAGGAAGAAAGAGAGGTTTGTAAGGAGGAGAGCGGAAGAGAGGGAACGGCTGAGTGAGCAGAAAGATGGAGGGAGAGAAAAACAATTTAAAAATTGCAGAGTTTATAGGAAACAACAGTTCTTTATAGAGACACTTGGTTGTTGACACACTTTTCTTCCCAAAGATAAGATGTACCCACAGGAATTTTTTTTTTTTGCTTCTGTTTTACAATAGGCTTGGCTTTATTGCACACTGTCTCATCTGACGTTAGCATGAGGAGTTTGCATATGCCGTGGCTCCAACAATCTGAAACACAGACATGCGTACCCGGGCCATGTACGTCTGGTTGTTATTTTAACTTTTAAAGTGGATTAATGAATTACAACTAGTTTATAGCCTGCAATATCGTCTTCAGCAACTAGATGGCAGGCATTACCTAATTAGGGGCAAGGAAAGGGCAGACTGGTCCCGGAGGACAGCAACACATGTGAGGGGCTTGAACATCAGTATTAAGAAAATAGCTGAAAGAAGAAATAAAAAGATGAGCAAATTGGATACTCACGCTGAGAGGAGGTCATCAGAGACTGCAAAAGAGAGAGATGGGGGGAGAGAAATATTATTATTAATATCATTATTAATCTTTGACCTAGCTTCCAGGACTGGTTATCTACACCAAAGTGGAGGAAATGGAAATTGCTCTCCACCACATTTTTTTTGGGGGGGAGGGGAAGACTGCAATGCCCATCAGCCCCAAGCGATTTCACCAGTGGCAAAGAGCTGATGGGGTTTGTAGTCCAAAAGCTTTTGCAGGGCCCCGCATCTGTAGGGATCTCCCTGCACCATTCACACAGACGTGTTTAAGCGAAGCGAGGAGCAGAAACGACCTCCCAAAACCTTTTAAAAATAAAAACCGCTAGGAGGAGGAGAGCTTTAGAGAGGGCGATGCGTTTGACCTTGCCAACCTCCCGCATCCCCGGCTTAGTTTCTAAGCTGCCCGACTGCGTCAGTTTTCTTTCCAGAATTAGTCCCTAATCAACCGCTGACGCCGCACCCTTCGAGGTTCCCGTGTCACCGCGTCACTGATGGAAAGCATCACGTGGGAGGCAGAGTCAGACCGTCAGAAGGGCACATGGGTTTCGGCACAGGCTGAAGCCGTGCTTTTATCAACAGCTCCTCTGACTTCTGAGTAGGGATGTGGCAAAGACATGCCAAATCCCTCATAGGTTGTCAGTGCAGGCTACCTCGACGCGAGACACACCAGTGAAGGACGTTTGAGTGACATGTCTACATGCCTGCGCAGATGACCGAGTAGGGACATGGCAAAGACGTGTCAAATCCCTCATAGGCTACCTCGACGCGAGACATGTCAGTGAAGGACGTGACATGTCTACATGCCTGCGCAGATGACGGGCCAACTGGTTGAAAAGATGCAAATACCCCACCCTGTGCTACTAGTTGAAAAGATGCAAACACCCCACCCCATGCTTCTCGGGTCGTGCTCTGAAAAGATGCAAATACCCCACCCTGTGCTTCTCATGTTGAAAAGCTTACCGTACAAAGCCAGTGCTCGCATGGATCCACGCACCGCGTGCGAGCAATCATCCTCACAACCGTTCTCACAAAACTGAGGCCAGAAGACACTATCTCCATCTAGTTTGGAGGCTCCAGGGATGAGGAGGAGAAAACCCAGAGAGGGGCACCGGGGGGACCGGTTTTGTCGTGGGTTGTTGAACAGACACACCCCCCCCCAAGCCCAAGGGAGAGAGAGGCAACCGAACACGTTTGTGCCCAATCCACCATGTTTGGCAACCCTTTGGCACACTCTACTGGTCAATGGTGAGCATTTTACACCCTCCCTTTCACAACAGGCTATGTTGGCCGGGCAGCTTTCAAGCCGGCACCAAGTGAGATGCCTGGATTTCTTACCCTGAGCCGTCTCTCGGAAAGCCCTCCCGATCTCGTTCAGCAGCTCTTCGGCGACGGCCGGGAGCGTGGCGTCCATCGCGAGGGGACCCCGGCGCTCTCTCCACCCCCTGGCGGAAGACAAGCAGACAGACACCGGGTTCTCATTAAAGGATCATACAGTACGGTGGTTTTAATTATCCCAGAAGAGGGAAAGGAGGACGAAGTGGAGGGAAAAAGAAAGCAGGACCCCTATTTATTTTTCCTTCATACATTTAAAATTTATTTGTTTTTCATTCCCGAGAAAAGAGACGATCAGATATCGTTGGTGGGTGGGTGGGTAGAAGAGACGACTTTAAAAGTCCCCCCCCCAAATTTATAAAATATCAACTATAAATCAGCTCTGTGACAAAGTGGGTGAGAAGATCGCCTTCAACACACACACCCCACATACACTAACACCTCCGTCGCCAGGTATCCCAGCCTCTGCGTAAATATGATGCTCTAAGTTTCCGAGGAGATGATGCATCAAAGCACTGACAGACGCTAAGAGGTTTCTCTTTTGCTTCGGGCTTTGTTTGTTTTTTTGTGATTGAGTTAAATAAACAATCAACAAACAATAAATGAACAATAAACGGATTAAATATCTGGAAGGGATCTGGATTGTTTACTCCTGAACTTAAGCAGGCTTCCCTGTGTCTAAGAGCGGCTCCACACCAGGGCTTTGAGAAATGAGATATAAATCCCTTTGTGCTATCGGTCAAAACCTCCCAAAATTAGGAGGGGAAACAACTCAAAATATCTGCATGCCAGATTGCTCTTGAAGGCAAGGGAAAACCTTCCGCGGGGCCAAACGGTCTCCTTTTTACCAAATCTGGCAGATTCCAGAAAACAACAGGTTGTTCTGTTCTAAATTTCTCCCCCTTCCCCCCCCCCCACACCCTTAATTTCCAGCCAAGATGAGCCCAGTTCAGACTGAATTTTGTTTTTTTTAATCGCATTCATTTTCTGCTAGGTCGCCGGCCAACTCGTAGAGAAGAAAACCCGAGAAAAACTGGGAGAGAGAGAGAGAAAGAGAGAGAGGGTTTTTCTTTCTCCTTTCTCTTTTTTCATCTGCATGAAAGTAAGAAGAGATTATAAAGACTGCATATTTTTGCCCAGCTGCTGCTTCTCAAATTAAAAACAACAACAATCACTTAAAAATAAATAAATAAAAATCAATTCCAGATGGTCCCAAGGGGCAGCTTTTGATTATTTCAATACTCCGCATACTTGGCCAAGGCAAGAAGGAAAAAAAAAAAGCCCTTTTGGCAGGCAGAGGAAAAAAAGCTGAGATCCTGGGATCTTGACCTCTGTGGATGTTAATATTTGGAAAGGAACAGACAGAGGGTCTGGCGCGGGTCTCCGGTTTCCCCGCCTCGCTGTCCAGCTAAACACAGGCCCGTCCTGAAGTGGAGACAGGCGGGTGTATCCGTCTCAACAAGCAAAATGTCTCCCCGTCCTAAGAAGGTGAATCTGGGGCTTGCAGCTCTTCTTCGAAGCTCGCTGTTCCGGGAGGGTTGGACTACCCCTCCCATCATCCAGCTGCAATCAGGTGGGGATGGGAGTTGTAGTCGGGGGAAATGACTGTCCTGGCTTGCCGCCCTTTCAAACAGGAATCATGCCTACATGGTTAAAACAGGAAAGGAATTACATACTTTATAACAGAGCGTAAGTTCCTGTTTTGGACTACAAATCCCAGATTCCTCCCATCAGGCTTCCATGTCCAAGGTCGTATTTATAATTTGTTTGTTTGTTTTTGCTTAGTCTCACTAGCAGGGTAAATTAGGAGAAAGGGCTGGAGCCTCGTTAAAGGCGCCCTCCTTCCTCGATCCTATTGGGATACAACCTGATGTGCGTTTACTTGGGAGTAAGCCCTAATGGAGAAAGGGGAGCCGACATCCCTGGAAACAGCCGGTCCACTGCTGGACACAAATCAGCATTAAAACGTCCTAGAGAAACAGGGACATTTGGGGTTTAAAGACCGCCCTTACGCAGGCCGGGTGACCTGGGGGCCTTTCATTCTCTCCCTACCTGTCCGACCTCGCAGGGCTGTTAGGGGGATCATATGGGGAGACCGTGCTGGTAGGTAGGTAGGCAGGCAGGCAGGCTAGCTGGATGGAAAAAGGGTGAGAATCAATGCAGCCTGCACCATCTTTTTTTAAAAAAGAAACTTTCCTTTCTCTTTCCGACACAATCAGGCCTCTTTTCAAAGACAGGTTCCACAAATACGTCTTTCAGAAAATGGCAGCTAAACCCTTGTTCCTTGGTTATTTATGGGAGACTAATTATTTTTATTTTATTTTATTGTGCAATTGATCAACCCAAACCCATGCCAATTTCGTCTGACGGGATTTATTCTCATGCCTGTGGGAATCCAACGGAGTGCAAGGAACGCCCCACTGTGGGCTTTACTCCTGAGTAAACCATGTGCACAAAAAGGGGGTAATGTCATGCAACTGCACGCTTCAGCCTGCAACACTATGATCCTTTTTGTGATGGACAAAAACATGCACGTAGCCGTACCAATCACGAAGAAATAAACAACAGAAGTAATGTCCTTTGTAACAAAATTGTCTTCTTTTTTCCAATAAAAACTGTTCCATTTATCTCTTGTGTTGATTTTGCACGTTTCCATGTCTCCTATGAATGCTTTGTCAGATTTATCTATTTCTTCTATGTCTGGACTTGTAATCGATAGGATTCTGGAATAAATTAAAAATAAACTGCACCAGATGTGCAAATTTCCTTTTGTTTCTGCTGTGGGAAGAACCGCATCCAGCTTCATCGTAAAATTGGGGAGCAAAGGGTAGAGGCAGAGGGGATTAAAAAAAAACACCTTTAACATTTTAGTAGCCCTCCCAATCACTAATTCATGAGCCAACTTAAACAAACAAATAATAAATAAAGCAAAATAAAATCAAAGCCATGGGTGTTTTAGTGGATCAATCCATCGCACATTCCCAATTCCTCTTTTCCTACTGCCTTTGATTTGTTTCCGGGATTGTCTTTTCCACCAAGTCTAATCTTCTCAACATGCATTTCAATAGATAACCATCATATAAAATATTTTGTTTTTCCTGATTATTGTTTATAATATAGTATTAGGTTTTCTGTGTATAAATCTCAACAAATAACCTACAACGCAAGCCAGATGGTTATTGCATTTAAAGCGCTTTTCTGTTTCAACTGTGTGGGTCTCTTTTTTACTGAGTTTTACTGTTATCAGCTTTTAAAGCAGAACATTAGGAATGAATTTTAGTCAAAAGCAAAGGAATACAGTATATGTGTCTTTAAGTGGTTTTCTGGGTAAATATTACGCTGTAAAATTCGAGAGCTTGAGAGTGATTTTTACAATAATGATCCACCGATTCTCTGGAATAACTTTGGGCTCTAAAACTAAAATTAGAGTTAAAATAATAAACAAAAAGCTAGTTGAGGCCTACAAACCGGGACTCCGTCGCCTAGCAACGATACAGTCCGGAAGAAGAGAAGGTCACGTGACTTAAACAGCCAATGAGCACCAGCTCCGCGGCAGCACGCGCTGAAAAGAGCGCACCCTAGAGATAGGAAAAGAATAAAAGGGATCACTCACCTGCCGAGCTGAGAAAACCGCTCGGTTCCCTGTTCGGGTTAATTTATTGCTTCTCCGCCACTTTAGTGGGAGGAGGAAGGCCACTAATTAAACTTACTCAGACTAATATCAAGGCATTTAATACTGTGAGATTCGGGGATAAATTTGGACGCCATTTTCTACTCCCACTAAAAAAAAAAATAATTGCGTAAATACCGCGATATGAGCCTAAGCAAGTTTAATTAGTGGCCTTCTTCCTCCCAATTATTTTTTTAGTGGGAGTAGAAAATGGCGTCCAAATTTATCCCCGAATCTCTCAGTATTGTGTCACTCTATCAGGTAGGTTGCTTACCAGTCTAGGGTCACTTCCCGTATCACGTGACGGGGGCGTCGTCTTCGCCAAGGTCACGGCCTTCCTTCCCCTTCCGCTTCTCCTTAAAGGGACATGTCGCTCTTGAGGGCGCTGCCGCTGCTCGGGCGGCGGGTGCCTCGCAGCTCCTTCGGCCTCCCGCCTCCGGCCTCGGCCTCCGGTGAGAAGGCGGCTCTGGCAGCGGCGGCGGCGGCGGGAAGGCCCTGCCTGGCGAAGGCGAGGCCACGGCCGGGCAGGAAAGGACACCAAACCCCGCCGAGGACCCGCCGGGCTGCGGGAGGCGGAGCCGCCGCCATAACGGCCAGCCTCGGCCTATCAGGTAAAGGGGCGTGGCCAAAGGCGTGGCTAAGAGGAGCAAGGGGGCGTGGCCATGCAGAGGGTGGGCGGGGCCTCCTAGAACGTGGACAGCGGGTGAACCTGCTGGGGGAAGGTCACTACAGGTCCCATCATCCCCCCAACTAGCAGGGCTGGGAGAATGATGGGAGTTGTGGTCATTTCTTTGCACTGTTCATTTAAGAAGGCCCTCTTGCCTCTCCTGTGCTGTCCTTTGGAAGTCTGCCTTCCATTTTCCGTAACTTTCCCTTTCTCCCTCGCCTTTTGTTTCCCCTTCTCCTCTCCTGCTCTTTGTGAGGCCTCGATTGGGCAGCCGCTTTCGTTCTCTTGCCTTTCCTTTTCTTTGGGATGGTTTCTGTTGCTCCCTCCTGTACCAGGTTACGAGCCTCCATCCATAGTTCTTCCGGCACTCTCTCCACCAAATCGAGTTCCTAGGATTAGAGGTTTCCTTCCCCCAATTCCTTCCCCCAAATCACAGAGACGATTTATTAATAAAGTTTTCATTCATTTTATCAGTGCTTCTGTTAGTTTTATTACAAATAAATACATAATCCAGACAATATATCAATAGATAATACAGATACTGTTGAACGGTGTATGAAGTCCTGGGCTGGCCCTTGGACCCATACATTTATGGGTTTTTTTGGGGCGGGGGTTATGGCGGGGGAGGAGTGAATCGTTGGAAGCTACTTTACCCGATTCTGTGAGTGGCAGACTGATCCGATCGTAAAAGGTCCTTCGTTCTTCCTTGCCGGCTGGTGAGCGAGTGATGCCTGACCAATTCAATTCTGTTTCTTTTGGTCTTTCTCCAGTTTTTTCCCTTTTCTCCCGCGAAACGGAGAAAGAGAAAGGCGTGCAAGAAGAGGAGAAAGAGAAAGGCGTGCAAGAAGAGGAGAAAGAGGCCACCAAAGAAGACACCATCATATATTTGCTGAAAACAGCCAAGGTGAGACCCCGGGGGAGGACTGAGCTGGTCAGGGGTTAACTTGAGCCTTGGAAAAGGAGATGAAAGCCACTCAGAGATGTTCTGGCTTTTCTCTGTAGCCCCGTTAAAGTACAGTAGGTGTTGAGACAGGTAAAATGAGCCTTTCTTGGACTAGATTTTATTTATTTCAAATATGTTTACCCCACCGTTCTCCTTAAAAAAGGACCCACGGTGGTTTACATTGTGAAAAGTCTAAAAACAGTAAGCATACAAATGCTAAGAAAGACGACACTGAAAATGGTAAATAAATCTCAGTCTTTAGCTCCGAGATCTCTGAAACCAGCATGACGACAATTCCTGTTTGCAATCCAGAAAAAGAATAATTCACTTTTCCGATCTTGACGTGTTTGTGTCGATGAACAGTTGCTGCTTTCAGGTTCTCCCCTCCCAGGCCTTTATGCTGGGTGGCCTTTCATTTCGCTTCTTTTCTTGGCCCCTTGATCCTTCCCCCCCCCCAACAGCTGAACATCATGAAAGGAGAGTTGGATAAAGCGGAAAAGATCCTGCACGAGGCCGCCAGGCTTTCGCATGAGTCGGACAACCGGAATGCGATCATCTACACGTACGATCTGGTTAGTTTTGCTGCTGTTTAATAACCTGAAGTCGAGAGGTGATCTTCTCTGCCTCTTAAAAACAAGTTTCTAATCCTTGTGGTTTGCTGTATGGTTGGAAATTGCTGAGCGCGTGCAGGAACATCCGGTAAGATTTTTTTCCTTTGGTCTATTCCAGATGGCAAACCTGGCTTTTATTAGGGGGCAGATGGAGCAGGTGAGTCAATGAGGACCCTTTTACCTGCAAAAAGGGCTGGTGGGTGGGTTTGTGTCCCTCATAGAGGATCGGCTGTTCTGATCGTGACTCGCTTTCCCTCTCTTTTCAGTCAGAAAAGCTTTTCAAAGCCACGATGAGCTACCTGCTGACTGGAGACACAAAGGAAGTAAGGATTTATCTCGGCTTTGAATTCAGTATTACTGACTCTGCTCTGCTGGTTTCCCGACCCCTGGAACCCAGAAATCCACTCCCTGCCCCCCCTTGTTAGATTTATGTCCTGCCTTCTCTTCATCAAGAGGCAGGTGGCCCTTGCGATGCCCGTCTTTTCCTCTTTCTTCTCACGACAGCCTTGGGAGGTTGCTCACTTGGAGCGTGTGAGCAGCTGGAGATCACCCACTGAACCCGGGTCTCCAGAGTCTGAAGCCTGCCCTGCTCGTAGGCCCTGATCCACTTGATGCTCTCCAGGCTGGAGCAAACGGTCATCCCCCGGGCCAGAGGGGCTGGAGCAAGGACCTGCCCTAATTGGTGCAGCCAACGTAACCCCCCCTTGTTGCCCTCCAGGCTGGAGCAAACGGTCATCCCCTGGGCCAGGAGGGCTGGAGCAGAGACCTGCCCTAATTGGTCCAGCCAACGTAACCCCCCCTTTCTGTTTCTTTAAACTCCCCCCCCCCAGGACGACAATGCCATCATTGAGATATCTCTGAAATTAACCAGTATCTACGCGGCACGGAACCAGTTAAGTGACGTCTTGTTCTGTTTTTACATCATCTTATTTTTAAACCATGGCTCCCCAACCAGAAGGTTTCCCAGGGTCACTTCAGGTGCCGCGGTGGCAGCCTCTCTCTCTCCCCACGGTATCCTCACAACAACCCACCAGGTAGGCCAGCTTGAGAGGGGGGAGAATCCCCATTTCAGCCGACAAGAGATACCCCGCCCAGGAATTCCCAGGTCCTCCTCAGTGCTATGATTTCATCGGGCTTGGACAACATGGGGGCTTTGGGATGTGACTGGACTACAATTTCCATTATCCCCAGTAGCCGGCGATGGGGTAGAGGGCTGGACTTACAGTGAATTTAAACAAGCCTCCCAATGGATTGCTGGGAAATACACACAGGGATGTTTATTTCCGGCATGTGAAGAGTTCGCTCCCCCTGCCTTTTGTTCGTTTGTGATTTTAAAAATTTTTTCACCGGATAGGCACGATTTGGCGCTGACCGGTTACCAGTTCTGCCTGATGACCCTGGAGGAGAAGGTTGCCAAGGAGAAGGACGTGCCGGCTGATGTTTTGCCAGGTATAAAAGTTGAGCAGCAACGCACGCTCAGCAGCGCCTGCTCGCCTCCAGCCTGGAGATCCCGGGGGGGGGGGCTTCGTTCTTCCCAAGGCTGTGGGTCCAGCCCTGCCCCTTAAGCGCAGGCAGGCCGTGATGGCCTCAGGCGGCAGACGCCGGGAGGCGGCACTAAGGCCTTTAGAGGAACGAGCTGGATCCGTGCTTCCTTGCTCCACTTCAAGGGCAGCAAAGGGTTCGGTCACCTCCTCACGGCTGAGGATATTCTGCTGGCTGGCTCCATCGAACGGGAGGGGGCGCCCCGTGGTCTCAGGCGGGACAGTTATTGGGGTCGGCTGCACAAGGCCTGTGCTCACCCAGCGAGCTTCGTGGCCGGAGGGAGATCCGTCTGAATCCCACCTTTCCCACGCTGGCTGCTGGCTGGGCTCCTTGACGGCCTGGATTCTCATCCCGGTCCGTTCCGGCTTTTTGGTTCCCAGAGGCGGAAAAGGACAACACGCGCCTTTTGCTCGGCATGACCCTGGACTCCTACGCCCGCTACCTGCTGGCCAACAACCAGGCCGCGGCGGCCCAGAAGATGTACGAACGGGCGCTGCAGATTGCGGTGGAGGTTCAAGGCGAGACCCACCCCCAGGTGAGAACGACAGAGGAAAGCCCTTTCCGGTTTTTCCCCTAGGGCAAACTGGCTTTGCTGGGTGCTGGCTGGGCAGGGGAACATGGGTGTTGTAATTCCCATTAAGTATCCCTGCAAGGCACGATGGGAGCGGTCATCCAAGAAAGTCAGAAAAGGCTCCCAGTTGGACTGGTGAGACGGTAGGACAAGCTGGTCTTGGACGTTCCTGGTGAGATGTTAGTCTTTTCCGTCCTGAACGGTGTTTTTTTTTCCTCTTCCTCCTCGCCACAGACGGTGGTCCTGATGAACGATTTGGCCACCGCCCTGGACTCTCAGGGCCTGTACGACGAGGCCCACGTGCGAGTGGCGAGGGCGTCGGAATTGGCTCGCCAGACGGAGCACCCGGAGGCCCACATCGTGCTGAATAACTTAGCCGGGATCCTTATGCATAAAGGTGAGCTTGGGGAGGGAGCTGCCAGGCCCCTGAAACGGCTGTGGGTGCTGATTTTGAAGACACCCAGGCCTACGTTTTCCCACCCACTCCGGGCCCCATCATGCACTGCACCAGATCCTGGAAATGTGAACAATTTTTACAAACCGCTTGCTTTCCTATTTTGGGGAACTTGTGCCTCACGTTGCAATTTTTTTCACTCCCGTGAAGGTTTTAAAGAACAGAAAATAACCACCTTTTTCACTCTCTTTTCCCCCCTCTCCTCATGGTGTCCTGGGAAGAGGTTCGAGAGCATGCGGGGACAGCCCTAACTGGCACTTAGTGCAGAAGCTGTGCTCCTAAATTGTCTTTTAAATCAGTTATTTTTTTTAACCTGCCACAGAGCGCAAGTAGAATCAGAGGGATAAAATTCAATTCCTCTCAGAAGTAAATCTTCTGTTCCATTTGAACCAAGAGGTTTATGACAGAGCTTCATCGTAATATATATATATATATATATGCCTCCATCCTCCACAGGATCTGAAGAGACTCTTTCGGATTCCTTTTCTTCTTCATTTTTGTTCTATTCTCTAGCACAAATAATAATACAAGGGCATTTATTGCTTCTCTCACCGCGCACCTTGGTTTACGTGTTAACTCATTCAAAATATTTCATTTTGCCTCCCTCTCTTTCTGTTTCTCTCTCTCTCTCTCCAAATACAAGAGGAATGTTCCCAGGCCGGACAAGTCTACAAAGCAGCTCTGAAACAGGCGGAGAAAGTCGGAGACAAGGCTTCTGCCCAATACGTGCGGAAGGAGATTGCAGAGCTGGTGAAGAGGCAGCGGAAGCGGGGGCAACCCCAGAAGGAGGATGGCGCCGAAGCCGGCAAGGCCTGAGACCACGCTTGCCGGCTGCAGCTTCTGCACGGCACAGTTTCGAACTGCAAGGGTGTCCCCTTTGGGGCTGCGAAGGCCTGGATCCGTCTATAAGCAGAACCCACCTGTCGTCGCCCAAAGAGCCCCGTTAGAGGTTGGGACTGAAACCCGGGGCATGGATGCTGGGAAGGCCGGGGACTGGCTGTGCAACGTCGCCGGAGGGCATCGGGATTCTCGACATGCGTTCAGGAACAGAGGATCCTGCTGCTCAGATCCTGGCACTCAATAAACCCCAAGTTCAAACGTGGCGACCCATTTTTCCTTGGGCCCGTGTGCCCAGATTCCTTCTGAGGCTTGCTGAGCGAGAAAAGCTGTCTTGCTTGAGAGCGACGGAGGACGGAAGGAGAAAACGGAGATTGCGTGTCCCTGGGAATACTTCCGTTCCTTTGACACCCGGATTGTGAAGCCTCCCCGGGGGGGGGGGAATGTTACCTTCAACTGGGGAGGGCCAGGCAAGCTGGGAAACCTCCCCCAGTCCGACAACCTGGAAAAAGGGCTGCCGATCCCTGGAAGTAAAGCTTAGCCAGAGAGATGGGCTGTCCCTCTTGCCAGTAAAGGCAGTTCCTTGCACGCTTCTGTAAATCAAACCTTTATTCTCTGTACCACGTGGCTGTTCTGGCTAAGACCGTACCGTCCGGGGCTTTAAGCAGGAAAGGGGATTCCTAGCTTTACGTAGAAACCTCAGCTCAGGTACAGGAAGAGCGAAGGCAGGGGAGATAAAAGATCCCTGCTGAAGATTTCAGGTTAAGACCGTCCGTGGCTTTAAGCAGGAAAGGGGATTCCTAGCTTTACGTAGAAACCTCAGCTCAGGTACAGGAAGAGCGAAGGCAGGGGAGATAAAAGATCCCTGCTGAAGATTTCAGGTATGGCAGGGAAGACAAACTCAGGAGTATTTGGGGTAGGGTGGGGGATTTCTTTCGGAGTCGAGGAAAAATGAAGAACGGACACAGAGCCGACTGGTTCTGGGAAACAATTTACTGATGGCTGCCTGTCGAAGAGTAAAATTTGGTTTCCAAAACAGCACTGTCAAAGCAAAGAGTTCACTGGGGTGAGGGAGACGGGAGGGTTTCGAGGTGGGAGAACCGACAATGCCGCGGGACTAAGCGATGCTCAGTGTGAGGTGTGTATGTGTGTGTGCGAGAGAGAGAGAAAAAGAGAGAGACTTCACCACTATGTACCCATGCAATATTATTTTCACAGTGCACTGCTTGAACCAAAACCAGCCCTAAGGGAAGGAAAAAAAAATAACAAAATATACACCCCGGTGCAGAGAACTCGCTCCCAAGATCTCGTTCCCCCAGCCGACCAACCGGAGACTTATTTTTTTTTTTTAAATATACAAGATTAATTCAGGAGTCAGCTGGGAAAATAAAGTCACTTTTCTTTTTCCACAAGGCCTTGAACAACCACAGAAAGGAAATAAAAATGCATTTTTAAAAAAATCGGCAGGAAGGAATGCCGCCCGGGAGAAGGGGTGCTGGACCGATGAGGTGAGGGGCCATGTGACCAGATCCATCTCTTGCGCCTGCTGGACGTGCGCCCTGCCTGAGAAAGGTCTGGCCAGCTTGTGCGGCAAAAGATCACGAGCATCCTATATCTGAGAAAACACTTTAAAAAAAAAAAGAAATTGTAAAACGATTCCCCCCCCAAAAAAATAAAGGTTTATGCAATGATTTTCAACAATAAAGTACACCAGGTATTCTTAAGCAGGAGAGCGGAGGGATGGGGAAAGGAGGGGAAAAACACAGCAGAAGAAGTTACTCTATTTACATCATAATGATTTCTTATTTTTTTGAGACATTATGTGAAGGTTCTCTTTACAAATAAGGATGTCGCTCCAGAGCAGGTGCCTCTTCTGTTTAAAAAATAATAATAATAATAAATTCCCTTGGCTTATTACATATTTATCTTCAAGAGGCGTGACGGTTCTGCACAGACGGCTCACTTTGAAAGGAGTCTTTTTGAGCAAGCGGTGTGGAAAATGAGAATAAAGACAGGTTCCAGTAAAAGGTCGTCTTCACCTCTGGAGACCCCCCATCTTCTGCTCTCTCTTTTTCGCTCTCTCTGTGTGTGTTATTTCTGTCAGGGAGGGCAGGAGGAGGAGGAGGAACGTGCCTTTTAAAAAAGAAACCCACAACCCACTCCAACAGGCTTGCAAACCCTGAAAATGAGTATATTTTTTTCTCCATGTTTAGGGGTGGTGTAGTTTGTTTCGTTTAAAAAGGGTCCTTTTCCCCTCCGCTGCTGCTTCCACTCAGTCGTCGCTGTCCGACAGGGTCTCGTACTGGGCCGAGAGGAGAGGGGCGGGCTCGCGTTCCCAGATCCGGTTGGGTTGATGGGAGGCGGCTTGGCTGACGGAGGGCGGTGCGCAGGCGACGGAGGTTGGCGGGGTGCTACTCAACATGCGCATGGTCAGCGGGTTGTAAGGGAACTGCGTCGATCCTGGGGACCCAAAGGTAAGCAAAAAGAGGTTTTTTTTAAAGGTCCTAGGGCCCAGATCGCCCCACCAGGTGTAAATCCCACCAAGGATGGACTTGGGAGCTGGCTTCAGGGAGTCAAGGGCCTCGAAGTGCCGCTCACCTGTCGAGGACGGCCGGTCCTCCCATGACCATACCGGCGTCTGTCGGTGGTAGTCGCCTTCCGAATGCACGGACGAGGGCCGCTCTGTCCCCATATAGCCTTGCCCGGGAATCGGAGACTTTGATTTCCGGCTGCCGGATTTCCCCATCAGTTTCTGCTTACCGACTCCCCCGCCTGGGGGAGAAAAAGAAAAAGACAAGACCGGATGGGTGGAGGGGGAGGCTCTCTCATTCAGAAGTGGCCGGCGTGACCCGAGCCTTAAGCATGTCCCGGATTCGATTGCCGACAAGCCCAAAGAGTTTACAGGAGAACCCCTGTATCTGTGGCCTGAAATTATTATAAATAGTAAAGGGAAAAACCCGGAAATGTGTTTCTCCACGATGGCATTACAGCCACCACCTTCTGCTCCCCAGGGCAGAGGTGCCCAAATCCCCCTCATTTCAAGGCTAGCATTACGACGTAAATGTTTTAAAAACCAGGCCCGAGGTGTTAGGAAATTGCTGACTATCTCCATCGGGGTGTTTTCTGGCTTGATTTTCATCCAGGACGACCCTCGTTTCCCTGCTGCACAATCGTGTATTAGGAGATGGCTCTCTGTCTGAGTATTTTCCCCTTGCGGTTGGTAAACCGGTCTGCCGGGTAACCAAACTCGGGACAGGCAGAAAGTCCGTCTCCCTTTCGAACCCGAGGGCGGCTGCTGGTCCCCGTTTCTTACCTGGATTGGGGGAAGGGTTGGCGTCTTCCCTCCGGGTTTCGCTGTTGGCTGGCAGTGTGGGGTTGGGGCCCCCAGGCACCAGCCCCATGGGCTGCGTCATGAGGAGGTGGTGGTCTTCCCCCTTGTCGTCGAAGTTGCCCATCAAAGCTTTGCGGATGATGTCCTCCAGGCCGAGGTTGCTGGCCGGATCGGCGAAAGAATGGCCTCGGGCGCTGACTGGACCTGGCAGGAAAGGAGACACGGAAAAAGAGGGCCCGAAAATGAGTCCCTGGGCTTTCGACGGGAAAACCCGGGAGAAAAGGCCTCGCCACAGGATCAAAACCTGGAAAGGGTCTCAGGTTTTGCCACTCAGGTCTGCTTTTAGGCAGGGTGTGCTTTTATTTTTATTTTTTTTTCAACTGGCTTTTAAAACTGTTTAGGGTGACAATTTCAAAGCAACTTTTCGGAGTTTTGATCAGGATCAAGGAGGGCAGCCGGAGTTTATGGCTAGCAAAAGCAGGAGATCTTTATTTTATTTTTAAGCAAAAGGATAGTGGATGTTAACAGAAGCTGCTGCAAAAGGGATGAAGAGACGTTGAAATGTGGATTTCCAGCCAGATGTGGTCACTGGACTGGGAGGGTAAGTAACGAAGACGTTTGATGAATGGCAACCGAGAAATCATAACACAGAGAAGTGCTAGACAACTGAATGAGAAATCAGGTGCACAGACTGTTGCAGCTGATCATTCAAAGGAAAGTAGATGGGAAAAAAAGAGCATTTATGCCACTTTTTCTGAACTCTTATGTAAACCATCCTGTGAGCCCTTCCAGAGGTAAAGTGGGATACAAAACCCGTCCCAGTGGAGAAAGGAAGACAGAACTTCTTTGATACCCAAGACAGGACCTCAAGAAGCAAAATGAGCCGACCCCGATGCTAGATTTTCACTCGGGCACCCTTCCAAAGCTACGAATCCTCATCCGGGTGGGAGAGGCAACCGAACATGCTCTGTGGAATTTCTAGCAGTTATCAGAATGTCTTCTAATTTCTATGTTCGCTGTGAGAAAAGAGTCACTCTTTCTGTTTCCCCAGCTAGAGTCTCGCCAGACCGGATCGTCTTAAAAACAGGATCCAAAAATGATGACGTCACATGCAAAGAGTCCAGCCGTTAAGAGTCTGACCTCTTCAAATCATGAATTAAGCCTCTAGTCCTCATGATGTAGGGGCTTTGTTTCCGCCGGTGGGTCCCCCCACAACAAATAGGTCTCTCAAAAAGTTTGAAGTGTGGCACAGCGTTCTAAAGGGATCATGAGATTTTTAAAAAGATCTTGTCCTTTACCGTAAAATACCCAGCTTTTTCCAGGAGGCTTACCTGAGGCCGTGACTGCAGGCAAATTAAATATTTCCGTCCCTGGCTGAGCTGCAGCTGTTAACCAAGATAAGAAAAAAAAAAGAACTGATCACACATTTCTGTGAAACCGCCCAAGTAGCAACCACCTTCAAAAAGCAAACTAGCCTTATCTGTTCTTAATAAAACAGTAATAATCAGATTCTTTCAGAATAAAAAATCTGGTTGACGAAACAAGCCACGGTACTTTCGTACGTCTGCCTTCGCACAAACCGTATATTCGCAAATCTATAACAGAATTATCACTTCTTCGACACCTGCTATTTCTTTTTTGAGAAACAGGCTGGACCCTTGATGACGTTTCTGGTCCTCATGATGTGCTCTTATGGGCCAACCCTCATACCATGCTCTGTTCCTCTGATTTCTTTAGCTGCGCGACTTTTTATTTTTAAACAGCCACTTTATCTGCTGACCTCCAAGGATGAAAAATCCAGCCCTTGCAATCTTGATTAGGCCGAACGTCCAGCCCTTTTGAGACCCAGGAGGCAGAAAATGTCCAAATAAGCCCTCTTACCCATCTCGGAGTCTCCTCCACCACAGGAATTCAGTTTCCGGAATATTTCTTGCTTTTTGGACTTCACCATAGGCGAAGTGCTTTCCAGCTTGGTAAAAAATGACGGTAAGTAGCTCATGCTCCCCGGGGAACGGGAGTCCGTCCTGCCGAGATGGAAGAAAGCAAATTAGAGGCATGCGGAAACGAGGGAGGGTACCCACGGCCTTCCGCCAGACTCTCAGAAACCCCTGCAGACTTGCAGTTCAACTTTTTATTTTTAAGGCACTCAACACCACTGCATTCTGATATAGATTTTTAACAAATTCACAGTGAATGACATCACCCCCCCTGCCGTCCAAATGAAACACCATTCAGCAGCTCCAGAGGACAAAAAGCGAGAGAAAGAAGAAAAAAATCAGCCAACTCTGAACAGCTGAAAGTAAAATAAAAATAAAAACAGATTTCATTTCTTGGTGGTCAAGAGCTTGGGCAGTTTCCCCAAGATAGCTGAGACCCGGCAGATGTGGCTGAGCTGCAGCTAGAAAGATCGCTTCTAAGGGTTAAATACCCTTTTGGCGATTTGAAGCAGAGTACAGGCAAGGCTCTCTGCATTCCAGCTAGGGGAGGTTTCTGGATGCTACAAGGGGGTATATTCCCCTCCCCCAGCCCAGCTAAAGGATGGCAAGAGGCCCTTAAACCCACAAGACACAAGACTTCTGTCTCGTATACAGTACTGTTTTCCTGCCTCCTGGAATTCTGCCCTCTGCAGTGCAGGAAAAAAGAATTCCAATCACCAGACCGAGTACAGATCCGAAGGAGAATTGGTTCCAAGCACACCCACCCACCCACAGATGCCGAAAAATGTGGATTATACCTGTTTTAATACATAACCTGGTCTCTCCATGTCCCTCTCTAGTGGTCAGTTCTGGTCTAAACTTCATCTTCAGTAATACAGATTTCTAGGACTTTTTAAAAAAATATGAATCAGCAGATACTGATCCTGTGGATATGGGGGTCCTACTGTACTAGATGTGGAAATGATACTTGGGTCACAAGCAGAGTGTCCTGGCTTCCCAGTGGAGCAAATTTTCGACCTTATCTGGGTCTCTCTCACCTTCAAAACGAGAGGGGCATTTACAAAAGCGGACACTCCCCTCCTTTTAAGTCTCTGCAGGAAAAACCAAGCGTGCTTGCACCCCGGATGCATGAGAAGGGTTGAAGTGAGACACGTCACTAGTCCTCAAGACCTCTCGGGCTCAAAGGCCAGAATCCTTGCCTGGATTTACGCGGGCGCCAGTGGGTCAGCGTTACGTGGATCAGTGCTTGCCTACCTCTGCTCTGAAGGCTCAGATCTTTGGGAGAGTAACAAGAGACTGTCCTGCTTCTCGAGACTGGCCGGGGCCTGGGGTGGAGAGATCGGCTCGTAAGGTTCGGAAGGAACGTGGCTCCTCTCGGGGGACTTTCCGAGCCTAGGGGAGAGGGAGAGAGAGAGAAAGCGTCAGGAAAGTCATTTTTAAAAGGACCACATTCAAAATGAGGTCCAGGGGACAACATTCCAGGGGAAAAGCACCAATTTTTCCATGGGGAAAAAAACAATCAATTTCAGGGACTCTAAGAAATCATTTGGAGGAACCATTTTTTTTCTTTGAGAATTAGTGGAATTTTTTTTTTAAGGTCAGTAAGAGAAAGATCTGGAGGATGTACATCTATAGAATGACAGTGACTCCCGTTGCATACAGCCGTCGTTTACAACACAGAGAACAGGATCCTATTGTAGATTTTCGCTGCAGAAGGGTGAAAATTAGAAAATTCAGCCTGAATAAGTTGACACTGGTGGGACGTGGTTTTAAGGCCAGCGTGAACCCAGAAAAGAGGATCCTGGCTGGACAGAGAGAAAGAGAGAGGGAAGCAAGAGGAGAAAGGCAGAGAAGGAACACAGACATTGTCCTGTTGTCGCAGAATCGGGAAACGGAAAAAACCAGACACACCCGGAGTTTGCAAAAACGCCACCGCTCCTCTCGGATGCCACTTACCTCCCCCGGTTTTTGTCCGGCAGGTTTTCCGGGGAGACCCGGGACCCCGGGCGCTGGTGGGGTGCCGGCTGCATCTCCGGGCTATAGCGGCTGGAGGCCTTCAGGCGGCCGGTGGTGGCGATGGTGGTGGGCGCCGAGGTCTGGAATGTGCTGGTGGGCGTCGGAAGCGGGGCCTGGGTGGAGGAGGCCTGGCTGCGGGCGAAGTCCTGTGTGATGATTTGCTGGGGAGGGAGAAAAGGATGAGTTCAGAAGCTGACTTAGGATGGCAGCCATCAAAATAGGCAGAGAGAGAGAGAAATTGACACCCAATTGCACATACTGGGCCCCATCAAACAAACCGGGAAGGAAGTCATGGGGAAAAAGACACACACACACACCCCACAACAACAGAAAAGGCAGAGGGAAAAGCCCAGGCGGGCAAACCTACACAGATGTGATCCGCGAGGGTGATGAGGCGGTGGGTGCGGGGCACGGGCCCCATCCCTTCGCCCTGCTGGGCAGGTGGCGGCGGCTGTGGGGGCTGCGGGGGCGAAGGGGAATCCTGCTGAGGCCTGTACGGGTGGATTGGGCCCTCGTACGGGCGGCCACACTCTCCTAGAGATGAGGAAATAGAGGGGGAAAGGAAGAGAGAGGTTTCTATCTGGTGCCATTCAAAAATGGGAAAATGATTCCACTCGTTCCGATGTCGGCTGGCATCCTGTCTCTGCGAAACGTTCCTCTTCTGGACTAAGGAGGGTTTCTGTGGGTTGCCGTGTGTGTGTGTGGGTGGGGGGGAGAAGACCTTTTCCACGCTCTGCCTGATTGGCGTAAATTTTGGGACTCCTACAAGCGGTAGACACAACAGCCCATCCACCAGGTTTGTATTGCCCAGCATCTTCTGGCCGAGCAGATATTTCTGGGAAATTTTCAACAGGGCACTAAGGGAGCAAACAGCCTTCCTCCCTCAGAGCCGATGTTCTCAGGTAGAGTGCCCAAGAAGATAGAGGTTCTTTGGCACAGAGCGCACTAAAAGACCAGTGAAAATTATATTTAAAAAATTCCCTTTGTTGGGGGAAGAAGACGATGTTTTTTATTCTCGGCTGCAGGCAAGAATAAAAATCCCTCCTCAGCCGCATGGATAGATGGGGAGGAGGAATTTTGCCATTCAGCATTCCTTCTCTGAACCAAGGATGTTCGCTGGGGACTTGGGAGATTCGAACTCAAGTCCCGGTTGAAGCTCTCTCTCAGTGACCTTGGGCCAAATTTGTTCTAGATCTCCCTCTCGCTCCAACTGGCCTACCTCACAGGGCTCCCGAGAGGGAAAAATCAGAGAACCCAAATGCACCCCCTGCAGCTCAATGAAGGGAAAATGGGACAGAAATTTGCCCAAAAAAAAGAGTTTTTTTTAAATTAATAGGTGGGAGAGCAGAATGCTGCTCTTCTTGCCTGCCACCCGCCTCCCGCACTTTCTCCCACCAAACTTACTTTCCCCCTGATTCATTTTGGGGACCTCCTGGGGGTACGACGGCATCTTTTCCTGGGGAGGGGCCGGTGAGCTGGCGGGGCTGATGACCTCGATGGCATCTCGGGGGGGTTCGTAGCGGTGGGACGAGGAAACTGCGCAGGGCAAGAACACGACACAAAAATCAACCCGCTCGCCAACATCAAAAAGGGCCACCAAACAGCAAAGAAAATATAAACGAGCAATGACACAATGGTTTTAAAAACAATTTGCTAAACACCAAAGATGTTTAAATAGGCGGTCATCAGCCTCGTTACAAGCTGTTAAGGTCAGCTTGGGTGGCTTCCGTAGATGGAATACGTTGAATTGTTTAGCCATTTCAGGGGGGTTGCTCTGAAAATGAGATTTTCACCAGAGATGCAAAAGACATTTGAAGCCAGGGAAGGATATTTCCAGAGATCAAGGAAGCATCTACGTTCATCTTGGAGTAGAAAACCCACCTTAAAAGACTATTTAAATTAAAAACTATACATGGGAATGGTCCTTCCACAATTTTGAAGAACTTTATCGCGTTTGGAAGCCACACACGGAGCAGCAGGGAGACGTCTGAGCCATTTCATGGTCCGAGGCAAAGCGGCGCCTGATCGCATCCCCTCCTGTCCCAAAAATCTTCTAAGCCTCACTCCCCATCTTTGGCAGGAAAAATCCAGCAACAGCCCACTAAAACTCAAACTTTGGTGGTTATGCTTTCTTGGGGCACCCCATAAAAACACGGTGTATGAGGCAGCCGCCTCGCTCGACCGCATGGCAGGGCTGGCCAGGCAGAAACTCTCGGCGGAGAAGCGATACAGGGAAGCCTTTAACAATGAACACGTGCACGCGTACAGACGCACACTGAGCCTTTCCTCGGGGAGGAACGGCCACACTGTGGCTAGAGGATTCAGCGTAGAAACAGTCTTAAGGAACAGACCCAAAAATGGTAATAATAAAGCTAGGGCACGAGGGATACACAGCAGGAACCTCTTATCCGCGGAATCAGTATCCACTGATTTCCTTCTTCAGGGTCTGAAAAGATTAAAATAAAAATACCCCCAAAATTTTAATGATGAAGCTACCAGAACTGGCCACTTCAGGGAGCCACAGACCCTGCCATGGATAGCATTTGCTTTTATAATAGTGTATGCTATTATCTGCGGAAGATGTTTAAATAGGCGGTCATCGGCCTCGTTACAAGCTGTTAAGGTCATCTTGGGTGGCTTCCGTAGATGGAATACTTTGAATTTTTTAGCCATTCCAGGGGGGACCCTGCCATGGATAGCATTTCCTTTTATAATAGTGTATGCTATTATCTGCGCTTTTCAGCATCCACGGGCGGATTGGAACTGTTTTTCCCCTGCAGATACGGAGGGGCTACAGCATTAAAAAAAAAAGTGGGAACCTACGACTACTGGAGGAATCCGAGCTCTGGGAGCTGCGATCGCGGGCGTCCTTGTCCGAAGCGATCTGCCGGGTGATGATCACGTCGATGAAGTTGGCGGCCGTGATAGTGGTCTTCCCGCGCGTCCGCAGCTCCTCCTCGTACTTTGAGATGGATGGCGGGCCCCTGTCCTTCCCAGCTTCGGAGTAGATTGCCGAGGACGGGTGGCTCTGGGACTTGCCGCTGGAGAAGGAAGCGGAGGAGGGCGCCGATGACGTGTACGGGCCCGGCGGGACTCTCTTCTCGGCCTCCAGCGCCTTCTGCTCCATCTGTTGTTGTTGTTGTTGCTGCTGCTGCTGCTCGCTCACCACCGACCTCCGGCCCGGGGCCTCCTCCGTCCGGCTCCCGTCGTGCTTCCCGTCTTTCGACTTGGCCACCTCCATCTGAGGGGCGGAGGCCGCCGCGTCCACCAGAGCGGCCAGGGCGTCGGCGGCTGTGTTGTAGCGGGAAGCGGGCAAGCCCTGGGGCATCGAAGGGGCGCCGGGGGGAAGCTGCCTGCGGAACGAGAAGGGGGCGGGGAGAACATCCAAACACTCAGCGGAAAGGCTCCAAGAGGTGGATTTCCTGCACCGGCCCGGGGTCAGACTAGATGGCCTTCGGGGACTCCCCTTCCAATCCCACAATTCTATGATCCTAGGTCAGGGTGGGAGGGGTTGTCAACCACAGAAAAAACTCAGAAGGGGGTTTGGTGGTTTTCCAGTCGCTTGAACCCGCCTCTGCTAGTGAAACCATGAACGAGGATAAATTTGTTTCCTTTTCGTTAAAATGAGGCTAAAGTTTTAAAGGGCGAAAATGAAGGGCCTGCATCGGACTCCCCAGAAAACTTCCAGAATGGCGATTTGCTTCCCTCTCCATAGCTAGAAAAAGGCTAGAAATGTGTATTTTTACAATATATTTACCAGGAATGGTCATTAGAGGGAGCCAGAGACCATGCAATATATTTTTATAGAGTACAGTGGTGCCTCGCTTTATGATTGCCCTGCATTACGACGAATCCGCTTAACAATGATCTTTTTGCAATTGCGATCGCAAAACTATGGTCTAAATGGGGGAATTTCGCTTTGCAATGATCGGTTCCCTGCTTCGGGAACCGATTCTTTGCAAAATGACGTTTTTCTAACAGCTGATCGGCGGTTTCAAAATGGCCGCAGAGTAATTAAAATGGCCCTCTGCTGTGTTTAGGGACAGATTCTTCACTATACAGGCAGCAAAAATGGCCACGGTATGGAGGATCTTCGCTGGACGGTGAGTTTTTACCCCATTGGAATACACTGAACGGGTTTCAATGCGTTTCAATGGGGTTTTTTATTTTGCTTTACGATGTTTTCGCTTAGCGGCGATTTTCCTGGAACAGATTATCGTTGTTAAGTGAGGCACCACTGTACCTGGTAAAAATACTTTTAACTGGATTTTTTCCCTTTTACCATGCTAAGTATAGTGTTCACTATTATCTGTAGTTTTCAGCATCCATGGAGAGGGATTTGGAGCGACTATATTTTCAAATCGTTGTTCTGCCTCCCTAGAGAGGTCCCATGAATTTTTCAACATCCACGGAGAGGGATTTTGGAGTGACTGTTCTGCCTCCCTAGAGAGGTCCCATGAAACAGATGACAGGCCCTTCTACAAAAGGCCAGATCCAAACCCCACGTCCAGTTTACCCAGAATCCCCCCCCCCGCATCCCAAACCGGTGGAAACCGTCCCGTACATGATGCGCAACTGGGCGGCAGGATCCAGCGGGGTGATCACGCTTGTCCCGTTCGACCCCTGGAAAATACTGGGCCGCTGCTGAAGGATGGTCTCCTGACCCCGCACCGAGGGGGAAGGTGAGCGGATGTAGCCGTGGCTGGACGGCCGGCCGGGTTGCTCGGCCCCTGAGGGACAGGAAGAGGAAGAGGGGGGTCAGGAGGGGCAGATAGAGGCACCCCTTCATATCCACAGCCCTTCATATCCACAGTTCTCCAGGCACAGAGAGCGTTTTGCCCCCAGGACATCCCTGCTCCAGAGGCGGGATGACAGCTCCCATCGCCCCCTCCCCCACGGGATATCCTGATGGGATCTGTAGTCGAACGCACACCCAAGGGGATTCCATGTGGCCCATCTTTGCTTCCAAATAAAGCCCACGGCTCAACAGGATCGGAGCGATTACGGTCATTTGGCCCCATGCAGTCCGATTCTTAACTTTGGACAGCTGGTGTTAATACTGCCGCCAGGCAACAAAACACACCAGCCGGCCGAAGCGAGATGCAGACCGCTCGGGGCGACCGGCTTTTACCTGGACGAAGGTAGAGCTCACTGGGGACGGAGGCGATTCGGTCCCGCTCTCTCTCTCTCTCTCGCTCCCGTTCTTTCTCTCGTTCTCTTTCCCGTTCTCTCTCAGCGTTCACGACGGCAGAGGCCGCCAAGTGAGACGGGTGCCCTGGGAAGGAGGACAGAGAAACGTTTTGAGGAATCAGGCTATAAAAACCCGGCACCCACCGCTTCTGTTCCTGCCCGTTTCGACTCTCTAGAAATGAAGAGGCACCTTCGGGGAGGAGGCGTCACGCCAAACGTCCTCTCCTGCCGCACAAGAGGAAGACGTGGGGCGCTCGCTCCTCCTACCAATACACGTCACCCCTATTGACCACAGACGCGTCTGTAGAAAAGGATGCCCAGGCACCAAAAACGTACACAGAGGAAGCCCAGGAGGATCTGACCATTGTTCAGAAAGATACCAAAAATCTTTCCAGGGCTTCTGACTCTGAGAATGGGTGGCACCAAGGCAGCAGCTGTGATAAATTTTGCACAATCACTGCCCTGTGTCACAAAAATGTGAAAGCTCTTGTTGATCCGGATTAAACACAGTTTTCCTCTTCCCTCCGCATCGATTTCCTTTAATGCCGTGTCCTTTCAGAGTTCCAGAGGAGCCCACAGGAACTTGTTTTGTGTTTACTGACTGTGTGCAAGACACCCTGGGAGACCTTTCCGTTATAGCAGGAGATGCCAAACTGTTGTGCGTGGAAAACGCTTCCTTCTGGCTGGTTGGTGGGGCAGCGCTCACCTGGGGACATGGAGGGAGGGTTGTAAGGCCTGGTGGGGAATGCAAGCTGAGTCCCTGGGATGTACGTAATCCTTTCCATGGGAGGGGTGCTCGGCCCGCCTGGATGGGGCACTAAGATGGTGGGGGCCATGCTGTTCAGGTCGATTATTCCTAAGAAAAAAAGAGAGAAAAACATGAATTGAACGGGAGGACCAGACAAGGGAGGGCCACTTCACGGGATTCCAGAGATCGCCTCTCAATTCTTTGTCTCCTCTGAGATTGGCCCGCCTTGGACCACAAACCCCATTATCCCCACCCATACCACAAAAACGACCCAGTTTGAGAACGGGGTGGCTTCAAGAATCCCAGAAAAGCTCCTTGAGGGCAGCCTATTTCCAGCGGCCGTTGCAGCCGGCCACCCTGCCCAGGGGGGTTCCTGTCAGGCCGAAGGCCGACTCACCTCGGGCGCCCGCGTAGGGCAGGGCGAGCGTCTGCTCCCGGGGGGAGAGTCCTCGGGCTAAGTCCGGCCGCAGGTTGACCTGCATCTGCTGGGAGGTGATGTAGTCATTGAGGATGGTCTGGCGGGTGTTCTCCATGGCGTAGAGCTGGTACTGGCTCGGGTAGCCGGGCGTGGGCGAGAGCTGGCGCTGGAACATGTAGGCCGTGGCTGCGGGAGATATATGCATGCACATACACACACACACGAAGAAAGAAAGGTGAACACAAGGAAATTCTGAATATGGATCAGCGCTTCGGTTAGAGATTCTAGGCCAGGACTGGGCTCAAATCCTCAGTCACTCACAAAGCTCGTGAGCTAAATTTGCTATGCTTGTTATCCTTCCAGCTAATCTGCCCCATTGGGGGGGGGGGTTGTGAAGGCAACAACTGCGAGAGCAAGGGACGGGGAACCAAGTTCATCTCAAACCAGGAGCCGTCTGCTTGCCCAGCTCCGCTGTACTGCTGCTGACTGGACAGTTAAGATTCTAGTCCTCAAGACTCTGAATTAAAATTTGACCTGAACTTGAGTTTTTCTTACACTTGTAAGTGTACCTGTGGGGAGAAGCGTGTACCGCTTTTCTTCCTCCCTCCCCCTCGTTTCCCTCCTTTGGTGCAGCACCTTCTCAGACGCCACGAGCGTCCCACTTTTTTATCGGTTTCGTGGACCTACCCGGATCCATGGCCCGGTGGAACTGCATGGCCGGGTCCAGGTGGGAAGGGAGGTGGCTCCTGTAGACCTCTGGGGTCGCGCCCCGGTGGTGTGGGTCGAAGGGGCTGTGGGCGACCACGGGGTCCACCCCCGGGACGGGCGACTTGGAAGGGACGCTCTCCCGCTGCGTCGGGGTCAGGGTGGATTTCCGTTCGTGGCTGGCCGGCTTCCCAGAAGACACGCTGCCTGCAGGGGGAAAGGAGAAAGAAAACCCCCACCGTCAGAATGCGAATTCTTTTCAAAAGAGATGATCGGGCTTCCAAGGGGAACGGTGGCCGGTCTCCCAGCAGCGGTGGCAAGATATGTATTTCGCCCTCCACGACTCGCAAAATCCAGCCTGTGCATCTCTTAAACTTTACTGTCTACTCCGGGGATTGCTTGCTCCTAAAACCAACCACCCTAAGATAAAACGCTGTGAGGGGGACCCTCTCCTAAGAGACCCAGACCTGACACACAGAGGTGCTAAGCTCACACTGATTCCCCCCCCCTTCCCGGGCAGGAAGAAAAAGTGGATTTATTACTTATTGATCTATTATATTTCCCTTATTTGCATCCTGCTTTTCTTCCAGGAAAAGAACACAACGTGGCATACAACCAATTAAAGGAAAAAATAAATGCACGTATACCAATCACAATAAATGAAACGGTTGCCACCGAAATAAGATGGAACCTGAAGAGCGCCAGAGACGTCATTCATTTAAAAAGTTGGAACAAACTTCCGTAGACTGGGAGTAGTCACCAAAAATGCCATTTTAAAGTATCTTCACTGAACGGGGAGGGAGAGGGAAGCCCTTGCAGCCGGAGGAGGCTAAATTTAACGGCAGAGAAATTCTCAGGTGGGCGGAGCTGAAAGTGAATGGGGTAGGACCAAAAATTAAAAAAAATATGGATTTACAGTAGGACCCATGTATTCATGGGAGATCGGTTCTAAGCACGGCCGCGGAGGCTGAAAAACGTGGATAATTGTGAACACTGCGCACAGCGTAGTCTCTGGCTCCCTCAGGTGGCCAGTTCTAGCAACATCATCGTTAGAAACAGATATTCATTAGATTTTTCTTTTAATAGTTTAAACTTTTTCAGACCATGGATAAGTGAATCAGTGGGTCCTGATCCCACAGAGAAGGGGTGTGTGTCCTACTATATATTTTAGACTTAACGCTCTTCCCATCAGTAACAAAGCCAGTGCAGAGGCATTTCCCCTGTTGAGGCCAGAGAACCAGCCAGGCGGTGTTGAATCCAGCAGGGCATGATCTGGCCCCCGAGAGGACCACCTTTGGCTCCAGGGCCTGGCGTTGCTGACCCCGGGGCGCTAGCCGAACACATACCTTCCGACACTCGGTTCATCATCGGGGAACTCCGGGACATGCTTTGGTAGTTGACGGGCGTCCGCCTGGCGTTGGCGTCCTCGTAGATCCCGGGGCTCACTTGGGACTTGGGTGCCTCGTGGAGCGTCGACCGGAGGACTGAGGTCCCGGAGCTGACCACCGAGGTGTGGCGGGAGCGGACCTCTCCGGCCTTGGCCTCCTCGTACTTCCCTCGCTCTGCCGCCTTGATGTTCTCCGAGACCATCTCCAGGGGCGGCATCGCCCGGGGCAGCTTGCTCGGGCCGGTGATGAGCGACTTGACGTTGTGCTTGATGGCCGACGGTCCGGAACTGCTCTCGTACTTGATGGGCGTGCCCTGGGAGACAGAGAGGGAACAAAGGCGTCAGCCCGGACCCAGACGGGCCCCCCCTCGGACCTGTCACCACCGTTGCAGCTGGTGCCTCGGCGGCCCGGCCGTCCACCGACCTGAGATATGGAGCCCTCGATGATGGGCCGGGTGCTCTGGACCATCTCGGGGGCCGCGTGGCTCTCTTGGTTCAGCAGCTCCTGCCGGGGGATCTCATGGACGGAGCGGCCCATCTCCTTGATGGTGGTCACCCCGTCGTAGGGCTTGCCTTTGGTGATGGCGCCTTCGAAGCTCCGGGTCGGAGGAGACTCCCTCTTGATCTTCGGGTACTTCAGCCCTTCCTCGTAGCTCTCGGCCGTGGCGCGAGGGGTTCCTGGACGGGGAAATCAGGAGAAAAAGCTGTCGCAGAAACCCAGGTCAAACCAGGCCGGTCGACCCACCAAACGGGTCTGAAGTGGGGAGTTCCCCGAATTTCCCTTTAAAACAACAACAACACACAACCGAAGCTCTCGGATTTGGGGGATTTATAGAGCTGAAATTCAGAACATTAACTTTCCAAGCTTAGATTTAATCCATATTGAATAAAAGTTAAGCTAAAGTTGACAACTCTCGAATGGAACAATGATTGGGACGTGTGTGTTTAAGGAGATATACTTGGGTTGTGTGACCCAGATCCAAATCTCTTCCTGCTGAAATTCATTCATTCATTCATTCATTCCTAGATTTAATCCATATTGAATAAAGGCTAAGCTAAACTTGACAACTCTTGAACGGAACAATGATTGGAAAGTGTGTGTTTAAGGAGAAATACTTGGGGTGTGTGACCCAGATCCAAATCCTTTCCTGCTGAAATTCATTAATTCATTAATTCATTAATTCATTCATTCATTCATTCCTGTATTCTGAACATTTATATATTGCCAAATCTATTGACAATCATTCCTCTGGGGAGTGAACCATAAAAAGGAAATCAACCCACCAAACCGAGCGCCACAACGTCAACATCCACTGGTAACACCCAGAGGGATTAAACTGAAATTCCAACCGGAATGCTTCTCCAGCCTCCCTGCACCCCGTGACAGGCTGAGTTACAAAGCCATGCGGTTAAAGTCGGGTGAACGAGACTTTCCGTTTCAAGGTAAAAACAAAGCAATGCCTCTCCACCCAGTCTGGGACAAGGGTTCGAGGCCCCCCCACCCCCTCCGACCCAGGGCTGGATCAAGACCTCTGTCGCTGGTTTCGACGCAGCGAGGAAGGAACAAGTAGTGGTTGGAGAGCAGGTGGCCATAATTCTTGCACCCGAAGAGTAAGGAGAGGGAGACGCCTTGGGGTCTCTACCTTGCATTATCGACCCAGAGAGCACCGTCCTCTCTTTCAAGTCGGCATGGGGGCTTCCTCGAGGCAGGGCCCGGCAGATTAACCCTAGAAAAGGAGAAGACAAGAGTCACCCACGGATCTATGGGGCTGCCCTCTTTTTGGACCAGTGGGCACGCCCATTTTACAGCGCACGAGCCCCGAGTTAGGGTTTTTTTCCCCCCCTTCTGGCCAGGAAAAAGCCAAACGCAGCCCTTAAGAACACTGTAACCGAAAAGCCAAACGCAGCCCGAGGGTCACACCATGAAATCATGGCTGGGATGGACGTTTGTTCTGAGCGGCACCCGGTCGGCCTCTTGCCTGCAGAACTTGCGTTTTGTTTTTCATTGTTTCTGCACAGTTTCCGGGAGACCCTTTTTACCTTCCAAGGGCGCAGAGACGGGCGACTCCCTCAGGGGCATCCCCTGTTTCAGGTTCCCTTCCATCGCGTCGTACGGCCTCTTCAGGCTCATTTCGTGAGCCGTCCTGGGGCTCCGCGTGCCTATGGCTGTCAAAAGGCAAAAACAAAACCACCAAAACCCCGGGTCAAACGGACAACCGTGGCCCCCGACGGTCTCTGGTCCTCCAGCTGACTGGCAGAGACCTTTTCATGCAAGCATACCTGTGGCTACTGAAAGGGGTTTCTAACCCGAAGAACGAGAAATGGGCTTATTTTCTCAAAACAAACGTGCTTTTAAAAGTACAGTATGTCTCAAAACATTAAAAAAATTTAAAAACAGTACATATTTCTACAATGGGATTCCCAAAACTGGCCGCTAGAGGGAATCGGAGACCATGCTCTGGATATGGTTCCCTATTATCCATAGTTTCCATCATCCACGGGGGAGATATGGAGGGGGGGTCCCACTGCAGTCTTAACCTGGGCTGTGCCCATGTAAAACAGGCATCTCCAAAACTCAAACCTATATAGTTCTAATTGGAATCACAATCTGTAATGATTTACTGGATCTTATTGGGGTCGGTGCACGGGGACTCTCAGCTGAAAGATGGGTAAATCTACTGTTTTATTAGACAGAACCTCTTGCGTTACTGTTTGTAATTTGCAGTGTGTAAATAAAAGATTCCCAGCCAGGTTCGGCACAAGAGACCCTCGGGAAAAGGAATACGGCCTTTGAACCTGGCCACGGCAATCCGCCGTGAGCTGGACTCACTGTCGTAGGTGATGATGTGTCCGCTCTTGCCCTCGTAGATGACGTGGCCCTTGGATGCCCCGGCCTCCTCCCGGCATCTCTCCGGGCTGCTTTCCTCCGTGGCCAGCCGCGTGATGGTCCCCTTCAGCAACACGTCCGCCGCGATTCCGGACTGAGACAGAGCCGGCGTTCCCTGCAAGGAGAGCGGAAGGATCAGGAATCCACCCATTATTGCCCAAGAGTCCCTGACAAGGTGCTGAAGACACACCGGCTCCAGGATGGTTTTGGAAGCAGAGCAGAGAAAGGATCAAGTGGAGAGGGGGGAAAAAGCCGCAGGCACTGCCTTGCGCTCCCAAGAGAAAAGGCAACGGTACGGATACAGAGACACGGAATTGATAGACATGTTTTCTCAACTGGATCCCTATTGCAGGGGGCTTCCCTTTCAACATGTCTTCTCCCTGGACACGGAAGGAATAGTGTGTAAAAGAAAAGAGGATTCAAGCAGGAAAAAAACATCCGGGTCCAGTGAGAAACCAGAAGATCGCGATTGGGCTGAGCGTGTGGGCTCAGCTGCAAGAAGCCGCGTGGGGCCGGGTCAGAGATGGGGAGCGTGATCCAGGCGCCCCTGGACTATAAGTCCCACCAGCCCTGGTCACGACAGCCAACGGTGGAGATAGGAAAGGCAGTCCAACTGGGCCTTAAGACAGTTTTGCAAGGATCAAACGGGGAAGGAGCTCAAAAAGGGCGGCTGGGTGCAGCCAGAGAAAGGGCCCCCCTGCCCCCTCCCGAGTTGGAGAAATCACTTTCCAGGCGGAAAAGAACCAAAGGAGACTGCTACGGGACTTCAGCGCTGACGTACCTGGGTGATGGAACCACGGAGCGAGGGCATCGTTTCCACGGAAACCTTGCTGGTGGGGGTCCCCCGGGTGATGCTCCCTTCCTGGATGGTGGCCGTCGTTCCTGGCGGAAGGCACAGCCCCGGTTATTGGAATCCAACGCGCCCGATGGGCCCGTCCTCGTCTCTCCCCCGCCCCCCCGACTCTCAAACCAGGAGTCCCTCTGGTCTCCTCTGGGTATTTTGGACTCAGTGTCCCATAATCCTTGTCCCAACGGCAGAGGTTTCTTGGGAGCTGACGTTCAAAACACCTGACAGGCAAAAGGCGGGCCTTGATTATCAAGAGAACCAGGCCCAAATCCATCATCCTACAATGGACGGATGAAACTTCATGGCCTTTTCCCGTGCCCAAGTTCACTGGCTCCCCCATCCCTGGGGGTTTCTTAAAGCGTGACGGTGATGTCAGAGCATTTCCGTGCGCACACGATCCAGAAGAGGAGGTCCAGGGGAAACGGAGGCTTGAGAATAAAGGGCCGGGAAGAATCCGGGTGTGGGGCTCACCTCGCACCACTCCTTCATGCTGGGCCCGGACTAACAGGCCTTCGGGCTGGGAATTCTGGCTTCTGGGAGAGAATTCCTCCTGTTTGATGTAAGGCATGGAAGCTGGAGAGAAAGAAGGAAATACAACGTGGGGTTCCAGTGAGTCGTCGGCAGAGACCCTATTTGGCAGGGACCCTTATAGAGGTCGTCGGCTGCCATCCCTGGGACGTCCGGCCCTGTCCGAAGCCAGCGATGGCTGGCGGGCCAGGGCTTCTGCTCGGTGGATTGGTTTTGTACAACGGAGGAGGAGAAAAATAACATCTTTATTGTGGGACAAGGAGAAGGAGATGGCAGGAAAGAAACAGGAGGAGGGAAATTCAGAGGAGGAGGCAAGGGAAGGAAAAGGCGTAGGAGGAGGAGGAGAAGACAAAAGAAACAGAAGAGAAAAAAGAGGATCAAAAAGAGGAGGAGGAGGAGAAAAGGGGAAGCAGAGGGTTTGGAAAAAGGACGAAGACAAGGAGGGTCATGATGGCCATCGCAACCGTGAGAGAAGGCAGAGTGGCTGGCTGCTTCTTTTACAGCTCCTTCTTTATTTCTAGAAGTGGGCCTTGTTCCGGCTCCGGGGGTTTGCAAACCTTTTGGAGCCACGCACACCCACCTCTGGCCTAAGCTCCCCCAGCCACCCGGAGTGAGGAACCGTCCAGGGGGGAAGAAACGTCCAGAACAAGGAAGCCGGGCAGGTTTTCGGCGTCCTTACCTGATTTGTTTGCCTCCTGTTGCCTCGGCAGTCCGAGCGAGATAGAGCCAACAGAAGGCTTGGCCGGCTCTTGGCCGTACGCGGCTTGGCCGTGGGACGTGAGATAGGTGCCCGGCGTTCCCTAAAAGAGGGGGGTGGATAAAGAGAGAGCAGCCGTGTTGGCAGGAGGATCAGGCACGAACAGAGCCTGACGTCGAGAGAAACCGGGCTGGGGCCCTTGGGGGGTGCTGGATCGGGCGATCTTCTCGCCGGCGGGGCCGAAAGGGGTCTCTCTCTGCAGGGGAAGCACCAGGCTTCTGCAAGCAACTTGCCCTTCGGAAATGCTCGTCTCAGGAAGGGGAAGAAACCACGCTCAGCATCTCACACACACACACCATCAAGGCATCTATCCGTTCTGGTCATCGTGAGATATGTACCAAATGATTAACATAGGAATAGTTCTACTCACACTGCATTAGGATGAGCTACACCTGCATAACTGGATAACCAACCAAAGCTGGAAAACTACAAGTGACTAGAAATGCAGCATCCATGGGGGGGGATTGGGTCCAACCATCCCCCCCCCATACCGAAAAGCACGGAAGAATCAAATATGATGAATGACATGGTCTCTGGCTCTCTCTAGTGGCCAGTTCTGGTATGTACACCCTGGAAATTCATAGAAAAAGGTATTTCTGGGGTGTTTTATTTAGTATTTTCAGTCAGCGGGTACTGATCCCGCGGATAGGGTGGTCCCACAGCATCTCACCATTCTTAAATACCTCCTCTAGCCTGTGTATGAAAATTGGCGGAAAGCACATTGTTTCGACTGCAGTTCGACAATTTTCCAGCTAGCACGGCCAGTAGAACTGGGGCCGTTCTGGGCCAAGAGAGTAGATTTCCCTGCCTCTGTCCTGCAGCAGGCGTTCGCCTAAGGCGAGCCGGGGGGCGAGCAACTACTCAAAGACATGCACCCTGCCTCCTTACTTGGGAGATGGATCCTCCCATGATGAAGGATGGCTTCTCCGAGGGCACCACCGTTTTGGAGGATGGGATCAGCGGAGGCGGGGGTCTGGTCGGCCGCGTGGTCGGGGGGCGGACCCCCTCGGGGAGATTGGTGATCACCTGGTGAGGAGCGGGTTGGAGAACTTGTGGGAAAAGAGGAGAGGAGGAAAAGAAGACAGTTTTGTAGACGTAGCAAATAAGTCAGCGCAACATATTTCAGAAAACATCTGTATTCACCCATAAGCAGGGCTTTGAAAAATTCTTTCAACTTCCTAGTCCTTATGGGGGGAAAAAGTTTCTTTTTGATTTCTGGTATGTGTCTGCAGCTTTTAAGTTCACCACAGTCAATTTTTGGAAGAACATCCTTTAACAAACTAGCGTCGCGGGAAGAGGACACTTACATAAGCAGAATGTAAGCAGAATATGTCGAAACCAGGGGGAGGGAAAGAGGAGGGCCTAACATGAGATGGATTGGCGCCATAAAGGAAGCACAGCTTTCTGCCTGCAAGAGCTGAGCATATTCTGAAGATCATTTTCATTTGTCCGGCTGCCAGACAACACCTAACAACTACACGTAAATCTAGTTCGATCTGAGACTAGACATGAAATAAAAATCGCCCTGGACTGGAAGAGTGTCCTCTCAAGAAAATGTAAGGTTACGGCCACTTCAGTTTAACAGATGATTTCTTACTTATGGATACTGACTCTCCTCTTCAACGAGCTTAAGGTAGCCCATGTGGCTTGTTCGCCTCTAGCTTTTACCCCTGTTAACAACCTTGCGAGGTAGGAGAGGCTAAAAGACCAACCAACGATCACCCAGTGAGTTTTCATGGTTTAGCGAGGATTCGAATACAGAACACTCAAGTCCTAATGTAACATTCTTAAGTGCTAAACCCTCTTTGTTTTCTATTTTAGAGGGATATCCTACAAGTCTGGGCTTCAACCTCTGCCATTCAACATTGATTTTTTATTCTTTATTTGTCCAGTTACATTTTTACCATCCCGCCGGTTCCTTTAATTAGCCCGAGGTAGCATACGCCTTTTCTCCTTCCTGTTTTTACCCTGCAAGTTAGCTCAGGTGGACAGCAGTTCCCTGGCCCAAGGTCAAGGAGTCCCGTGGCCGAGGGAGGATCTGAACCCAGGTCCTCCTGAGCCCTCGGCCAACGCTCTAAACTCCTACAACTCATTTTTGCTTATGGCGACTCGAGGTCCAAAGAAGGATGTGCGTTTCCTGAAATCGGCCCCCAATATGTTTAAGTTGAGAAGAAAGCCGGCAAACTGGAATGAATTACCTACCGGGTGGGACGCTGTAGCGGGCGGCGTTGACGTCCGGCTGGGGGGAAGCTTTGCTGACCTCCCTCGGGGACAGGCGGTACGGCGATGATGACCTGGCCACCGCGTTCTGCATCTGGGCCTCCTGCTCCATGGCGCGCTTCACTTCGGCGTAAGGCATGTAGGCGACTGACTTCCCTACGAGAAAGGAGGTTTCGGAAGTTAAGCAGCAGCAGTGGGCCCCGTGAAGCTGAAGGTATTTTTCTCAAAATAATAATAATAATAAAAACTTCGGAGCTTCTCGTAAACTGCAGAAGCGTCCACCTACCGTCCCACTCGACGCTCGGGCTCTTGGAGGGGGCACAAGGGCTGGCCGAGGGCCGGCCGTCCAGCTCCGCCGGCTCCTGGCGCTGGCCGGGCTCCAGCAGGGCGGACTTGTGCATGGCCTTGATGTGCTGCTGGAAGAGGGTGTAGCCGCTCATGGCGATCCCCGGGGGCAGGCCTTGCGGGGAGGAGGAGGAGGAGGAGACCTGCAGGAGGAAGAGGGAGAGGAGCCCGAGGAAAAATCTGGCCCCTGGCACCTCGATTGCCCGGTCCGAATGCTCCTCCTGAACCCTAACCCTGAAGGGGTTCCTGGGGGGGGGGAGAGAGAGCTGGGCTCCCTGCCCCTGGAAAACACCTCCTCCCAGCGAAGAGGAGGGGACCCGCTGGGCGAGGGAGGGCAGAGAAGAGCTAGAACTCTTCCTAGTTCACATGCCAGCTGGGGGGACCCTGCAGTGGTCATCTTAAAAATGAATTAAAATATTTTTAAAAACGGGATTTTCCCCACGATCCGGAGCGACTGAGGCCTCTGAGGCTGCTGGCGACAGGACCTGCACCCTCTGATGCACCAAAGCCGGCTGCTTTCTCTTTCCGCCCATCTCGCCCTACCTCGCAAGGGGGTTGTGAGCCGAGGCGAGAGGATCAAGAAGAAGCGAGACCTGGCCAAAGCTTGGGTGAAGGGCAGGCCCTCGTCTCAGTTCCACGACCCCTGGAGGCACGTGGTGTGCAGACAGGAGAAAGGGTCTTTCTCGAGGGCTGTGGAACTCCCTGCCACAAAATACTCTCTGGGGCCCTTGCTTGGTTGCTTTTCCCAAGCCCTTCGCGGGAGCGGCCACCTCCGCTCTCCAGACGTCCCACCGAGACAACCTCCAAATTTAGCCCCACGGAACCTTGATGCCTTCAGATTCCTTGGACTACAACTCCCATGAGGCCTCCTCCTCAGCCAGGCCAGCTGCAGCTTCTGGAAAACCAGGCCCGGCACATCTGTCTGGACCGGTTTTCCTTGCGCTTTAGGCTGAGCCCGTGAGCTCCCTTTCCAAAGGCGGGGGGGGGAAGAGGTTGCCCATAACCTACCATGGGGGGAATGACCGCCGCCCGGTGCTGGAGCTGCTGCAGGTCCATCAGCCCTTGCTTGGTGGCGGACGACACCATCAACGGCCCCGTTGGGTTCAAGAGGGAAGGCTTGGAGTCCATCGTGAACATCCTGGAAGGAAAACACATTTTAGGAACTGAAAAGGCGGGGGGGGGGAGGAGAGAGAAAGGTGACATAAACACATCTATCTATCTATCTATCTATCTATCTATCTATCTATCTATCTATCTATCTATCTATCTATCTATCTATCTATCTATCTATCTATCTATCTATCTATCTATCTATCTATCTATCTATCTATCTATCTATCTAATTTCATTTCATTAATAGCCAAATGATCTGTTCTGGAACGCAGGGAGAGATTTCCTCCGTGGCAGGCGTGTGGCGAGGTGGACAGGATTTGCCGAGGCAAGAGAGCGGACGATGCCGATGTTTAAAAGGGGAAGGGAAACGAAACTGTGTTTAGCCCAAGCCCTGTTGGAGGCAAAATTGGCCAAGAAAGAGGCAACGGGGAGGAAGGGACTCTCCACGCCGGGGGGGGGGGACCCAATCCATCCTGGTATGGGGTTGCCATCCAGCCCATGGCAAACCCCCTTCCGATGGGGCTCCCCAAAGCCCTGCCCCAAAGGGGCTTTGTCCCGTCAGAACCCGCATCCCTCTTCATTTGACTGCAGGGCTGCAGGATGGAGGAAGTCGAAACCAGGGAGCGCCGCCTTGAAGGGCTGTTGTGAGGAAGCGGCAGCTGTCGCCGACAATATGAGAAACAGCCCCTTGGCAAGTAACGCATTGTATTTGGGGAGGGTTTAGCTATGGAATCGTAGTGACCTCTCACGGCACTATGGAAAGCCCGCTGGCAGGCAAACTGCTCCTATACATTTATGATTCTCAACGTCGCTCTGAAGGAAGAGCTTTGACTCGGGAGGAGAAGGAAGAGTGTTTTGTGTGGAAACTGGAGGGGGAGCAGTCGAAGGTGCCGGATGGGGGCTCCAGAGGGCCAGGTTCAAATCTGGGCCTCGAAGCTCCCTGCGGTGGCCTTGAGCCGCCCAGCCCAGCCTCGCAGGGCTGTTGCGGAGAGAAGGCAGGGAAGAGATTTTCCTTCTCTGGGGAGCCTGACTCGGCTGGCTGGAGGGGAAAGGTGCGACCGAAACGATTGTGGCCAGGCCCGCTCTCCTCCGCCGAGTGCGAGGAGGGAGTTCTCTGGAAGACCCCCTCTTTTAAAAAATTAAAAATAAAGGAACCCAGGAACCCGATCACTCTGACATTTAACACCCGCTCCAGGGCAAGCGCGATTCAAAGGCGGCTGGCTGCCTGGAGGGCTTCCAAGCTGGCACAGGAAATTTTCCATCGCACGGGGGAGCCCGGAGGGTCACAAAGCCATCATCCAAAAAACAAAAACAAAAAAATCACACCCGCGGCAGATGGCATTCAGCAGCGCCCGTTTCTTGGGCTACACAAGACGGCTGCCCACAAGCATGCATTGAACCTACACGGAGGTAGGGGGCTGGGAGAGGGAGGAGCGTGACGAAATCCTTCCCCCAGAACGGTTGTGAAAAATGGGCCCTTTCGTTCCCTGGGGAAACGCAAGATGATCAACTGTTTTGTAACTCCAGCGGGGGAATCTCGCCTGTCATCAAAGCCTCCCCACACCCCCAAAATTGAGAGCTCTCTAGGTGGGTCACCTGGAAGGACCCATTTTTTGGCTTTGGGCACTGTCTAGGAGCCGTGTGGACTGCTGGAAGTGCCAAAAAAAGGAAAAGAAAAAGAAAACCCTAAATCTGTAAATAGCCATAATCCTACTCCCAATTTTGTGGGGGAAAATGGTATTTTTGAAGTTACATGGTCCAGGAAAGAGCTCAGTGGTCCCTCCCAGGCTGTGGAACTCCCTGCCACAAGAGGCTGGGCTGGCCCTATCCTGCTGAGCTTTCGCCTGGAGGCAAAGATCTTTCTTCTCCTAAGGAGGCTTCTGGCAAACAATGACTGCCTTGGCGAGGCAGCAAGGTTGAGTGAACCAGAACCTGAACGAACAGTGCACTTTTTAATTGCAACCATTTTCCCCATCGTTTTTACGATGATTCTATGTTTAATGTAGCGTTAACATCAACCCCCTGTATTTTTAGCTTCCACTTAGGTTTGTTTGTTTTTTAACCACCGTGGCCTGAATGCGATCAGCAGTCCCCCAAGAGTAGACCCACTGAACATTAACATCAAAACCCTGTATTTTTAGCTTCCACTTGGGTTTGTTTTTTTTTTAACCACCATGGCCTGAATGCGATCAGCAGTCCCTCAAGAGTAGACCCACTGAATCCCCAGAGTGACAACCGGAGGGGGGGGGTGTTCGTCAGCCTGCTCTTTTACGGCGTCTGCTCTCTTGGAGCGACCCACGGGAGGCATTTCTTCGTCCTCCGCCTCGGGCTCCTGCGACCGCTGGAAAAGGCCGACGACGGGCGCAACCGAGACGCAACCGGCGAGGCGATCCTTGCGCGGACCAACAAGGCCTCACCTTTGCCTTTCCGGCTCCCCCTCCACATCCTCGTCGGCACTACAGGTAGCGCTGGAATCGTTATCCGAGTTGGGGTCCGACCTCTCCGTGGCGGCCGCTGGCTGAGACAGGCTGAAGTCCATCCGCTCAGGCGCCGGCTTCTCCTCGGGCATCTCCTCTTCCGGCTCTTTGGTGTCCTTTTCCGTCTTCACTTGGACCTCTTCGGGAAGCGGGGGCTCCGGCTCGGTGGGCTCAGTTTTGGTGTGCGCGGCAAGGTCCGGCTCGGGCTTGGCGTCGGACAGCGAGGCCCCGCTCTCCACCTCCATCGGTTCCTCCGCCTCGGTGGCCGCCTCCTCCTTCACCTCCAAGTGGGGTCCCTCTTTTTTGTCCGGCTTTCCGTCCTGAGCGCCCGCGGCGGTGGCGGACGGAGATGCCCCCGGGCCGGGTTTCATGCCAGATCCTTCCGCCTCCTCCTCCTCCTCCGCCACGGCCTCGCCAGTTACCCGGGCCACGCCGTCGGCGGGAGGGCCGTCTTCCGGGGCCTTGGCAGCCTCCGCTGAGGACGGAGAGGGGGCACTCTCGGTATCCGAGCTATTTTCGACACCTGGAAAGACATTAAGCCCTGCGTATTAAGCGCCCGAAAGGTAATTAAAGGGCATTAACTGGATGCCGGGCGATTACCACTGCAGGCCACATGACACACAGAAAGAAAGAGAGAGAGAGAGAGAGAGAGAGAGAGAGACCTGCTGCCTCACAGACCTTTTGACTCTTCACGGATGCTTAAACTGGAAACCAAGCTTAGAAACGGCTTCCTCTTGTAGAAGAAAATCCCAACAGAGCTCATGGCTGCACAAAACTCTCAAGACGCCATCAACACACCCCCTTCGGTTTCGCTCTGTTCTGCTTCGTAAGCTTCTCCTTGCAACGGGGACCGAGGGAGACCCTTTTCCTTCGAGGGGCACGATTCTCTCTCCTTGGTCTTTGTCCCGCAGGCCCCAAAAGAATCCTGCAAGGACCTCATCCAACCCCTCTGCGCCATCGTCCCTTCAACTCTCTCTGCTCACTGGCCCTTTCTCCAAAGTAAAGCCCGGCCAAACCTTATTTGCTTTTCTGGATTTCCCTCCCGCTACCCTGACCTCCTGCGTTGGTTTTCTATGCCCTGTCAAAATTCAGACGGCCGGCTTCCCGAGAAAGAGGCCGTTGTTTCTGCCTGCACGTCACGGCAGCAGCTTGGTAAGTCACGAACCAGAGAGGCGCAGAATTTGATACAGGACGCAGAATCCTACATCCAATCCCGTCTCTGGGTCCCCCCTCAGGTGAAACAGGGTGTGTGTGTGTGTGTGTGTGTGTGTGTGTGTAGGAGGGCGAGAAAGGAGGCGTGACTCAAGCCGACTCAGCCCCCTCAGCTGGCCTTCAAAGATAAGAAAACCACAGACCGGATTTCCAAAGATGATCAGAGAAAAACGGCCTCTGATCTGCCTGCCTCCCAACCAAGCCTTCGGTCAATTAGACTACATCTCCCATTTTTTCTTTCCCCCCCCCCTCCCATGGGAGCTGGAGTCCAACCCCTCTGGAGGAGAGAGCAGGTCCGGAGAGGGGAAACGCCGGCCACTTCTCGAGTCACCTTCGCTGTCTTCCGGGTTCTCCTCCTCGTTGGACGCCTCGATGTCCTCATCTTCCTGCGCAGAGACCGTGGAAGCCACGCTTTCGGATTGGGACACTTCACGCTCCTCCCGGGGTTTTCGAGAAGACTGGGAGGGAAAAAAGAGAGAGTTGGTGGCACAATGGAATATGACTTTCCCAGCAGCCATGGGCTGTTTACAAACTCTGGTGAAGCAAAATATTTGGGGGGGGGTTGATCATGGATGGGGCATCAAGAGCCATTAGCTTTACAAAAGACCTGCTCCTCGACCGGAGGGACACAAGGACCCCTCGAACAGGCTTGGCTGGTCTGCATCTAGCCAGCCACTTGCATGCCTGGTGCAGTTGCGGGTCCTGCTGGCACCAGGATTATCCCCCGGGCTGGTGCGGACTGGGTGTCATCCCTATGCCTGCGCTACGTCACTAGGCCACTGCGTTGCCACCACAGCTCCATCCCGGGGAAATCGTGGGGCTCGTCATTCAGAGAAGCGCACAACAGCAATCTGGAAAAGGATGCAAACCCCCCTCCGCCAAACTACGAAGCCCAGAATCCTTCAGGGTGAGATCATGATGTTTAAACGGGGAAAACCGAAAGGTTGCCCCTGCGTCCTGCGAACTTCCTTGTGTGAAGGCACTCCTCGAGCTGGAACGTTTTGAAACGACCGCTCTTGAGAACCACCCAAGGGATTCTGGGCCAGGCGAGCTGGAGCAGGGTGGGAGCCGAAGGGAGTCTTCGGAAAGTCCTCACTTAGCCACACTCTGGACCTGAATGCGGCTTTTGGCCTCTTGCCTGACGGCACCTCTCTCGACAACAACGGTCCTGGTGGGGCCAAGCCTTCTTGGGGGGGGAGGGGTTTCCCTTTACGACCTTGGCCGGTCTCTGGCCCCACGGACTCCCCGTCGCCTCGGCTCACCTCCCTGGTCCCAGAAGGGCCTGCCCGTCCTGATGCCCGCTCCCCCCCCTCCCCCCCACAAGAACCAGGCCGGCCAGAGCCTCACCTTCTGCTTGTACTGCTGGAGGAGGCTGTCCAGGTTGTGCCGCCGCTTGTAGTTGAAGTAGAAGTTCTTACACTGCGCTTCGCTCTTCGTGCCCACCATCTTGGCGATGGCCGCCCAGTTGCGCCCGTGCTCCACCAACCCTGCAGGGAGGGAGGGAGGGAGGGGGGCAAGATGGATTTCGAGGTGCTCAGGGAACTCACGAACTCGGAACTTCTCGCTGCCTGCGGTTTCAGAACTGTGGGTGCCTCACGGAAAATCTGGGGGGGGGAATCTGCCCCTTCTGGCTTTCTTGGCCCCTAAGAAGGGGCGGTTTTGGTCACCGTTGCGCCTGCCACGGCCCACGGAAGAGCGAAAACGTGGCTCTCCGCCCCGCCAAAGCCACCTACCCAAACTCAAGACGAGAGGTGGGTGTCAGTGCCAGGACCCTGCCTTGAATCACCCCAGGGAACCCCGTTGCATCTTCTTCCCGTCAGGCTGGACTACATGTCCCATGATGCAGTGACTCATCCAGCCTCTGCTCTCTCTCTCTGTCTGTCTTGGGAGGGAGTTTCTGCATCACAGCCGGAAACCTCCAGAGCCAAGAATCTTCCACGATTCCTTTCTTCCCCACACCATTCGAAACTCCAAAATACAGATTTTTTTTCCCCTAAGGGGAAGCCACCTTCTCGTCATCTCTGGCTTTGCTCTCTGAATTTCTGGGTCTTTTTGGGGGGGGGCCATCCGGGGGTGGAGGGGACAGGGCGGGAAACCTGCAGACACCCCACTCCACCCTGAGACCGGCCAAATCTGCTAACCCTGGGGAAAACCCTCCAGGCCCATCCACTTCCCATCATATCTAGATGCTGGTCAGCGTTGCTGTCTGGCACCAAAGCGAAGCGCTTTTCCGAGGCTGAGGCCAGGGAAGGAAAAAGTGGCTCGGTTCTCCCCGAGGTCACGCCATGTCAGCGCTTAGAATAAAATAAATAATTTTTTAAAAAAAACCACCACTCAGCTCTCCTGACCTCGTAGCGCCAGGAGCTTATCGGCTGGATCATGCTGTCTCCCTGGTTGACATAACCTAATTCTCTCGGGGCCATAAAGCTGCGCGCCCTCCCTACGTGACCCCCCCCTCCTCCCTCCTGACCCGGCAGCCGGCATTAAGCATCCCAGGGGCCAGGCGGGAGGGCAGCGACGCAGAGAAACTCCATTGACTTCTTTCAAAAGAGGGAAGAAACAGTGGGGGGGAAAAAACAAGGCCTGCAGATTTTATTTATTCTTCTTAGGGACCAGTCACTTGTTTTTTTTTTCTGCTGCCAGGTCTCTGTTTTGAGAAGGATGGGATTCAGAGAGGGGTCTCCCGGCAAGCAAGGGGGAAAGGGGGTCCGTGTAGGAATAGAAGTTTATGGTTCTCGGGAGGCTTCGGAGCATGCATGGGCCGCCGGGAGAGGTCTGTGCATGCTCAGAAGCCCCCCCAAGAACCACATATTTCATTGTGACGGAAGCAGAAAGCCAGAAGGGAGCACAGGCTGGGGTGGGGGCGGTGCCTAACGATTTACAACAAGATCGTTAGGTGTTGCGCAAAGCGGGGCCCTCTGGATGTCGCTGGGCCCATCCTCTCTCACCCCTGGCCAGGGATGATGGGACTGGCAGTTGCTGAATATGCTTGGCCAGGGTGGGAGACATCGATTTATTCTCTCCTCCTCTCTCTAACGAATGGGTTCCCAAAGTGTCTCTTTAAAAACCAGGACAAAACAACTGCCTGAGTCTTCAGCCTAGAGTTCCAGAAAGTTACTCTTCTGGACTACAAAACCCACCAGGCACCTCAGCCAGCTTGGCCACAGATGGCTGTTTTTAAAAAAAGACATATTCCACCATCGCCACCCCAGGAACAACACCCGAGGGTCCTGAGTGATCTGTTTTCAAGACTACAACTCCCAGAATTCCACAGCCAGAAAGATTAAGGGTCATGGGCACTGGGGAAGAAACGGAGGATAAGTCGTGAACAGCTGCCCAGTCAGCCACCCTCTAATCCCAGAGGAGGAAGAATTCAGTGGAGAGAACGAAGACCCTAGGCCAGGCCGTGGCTAAATCGCTTGCAAAGCCATCCTGGAGGGCTCGGTGAGATAATTTCCCCCAAACTGGAAGAGAAACACAACAGAACAGCGCCTCGCTTCAAAGAAAGACAGTAAAAATACACGTGAATTGGGCAGAATCCCAACGGTAGGACCAAGACGGACGGAAATACAGCCGCTTCTCAGGTTTCTCGTCATCCAGAAAGACGGACACGCATCCCGGGCAACATCCCGTCGCTTGGCGTCGTAAGTCGGCCCGCTGAATCATTGGGATTTGCAGCTGAATCTACCGAATCCCACCTGATCCAATGGGCCTACTCAAGCAGCCAGCCACCTCGCAAAGGAACGAGATCTCCGCCTCGGAGCCTCCTCGGAAGAAAGCCTTCCAGAGCTCCTCCGGACGGAATCAGTTCCGAAAATATATCGATTAACATTCTTGGAAAAGCAGAGAAGAGCGCCCGAGGAAAGGGGCTGGGTTTTGGGGAGAGCGGGGTACCTTTTTTGGCCACTTCCATCTCTTCCTCCGTCCAGCGCGAGGTCTCCACCGGCTCGGCCGAAGCTGCAACAAGGGGAGCAACAGGAGAGCAAAGCTGTCAGATGGCGGAAAAAGCAAAGACGGGCGGCTTCGGAGTAATCTATTAATCTGTTTACAGGCAGGCCCGCTCAGGGCGCTCGGGAACGGTGCCGGCTCACAGCAGGGGGCGGTCACTTGTTATTACATCAAAAATTAAGGGATGGGGAAGCAAGGTGGAAGGAGATCTATTCCCCTCTATGTCGGGAAGGTGCACGCGCTCAAGATCCCGGGGGGGGGGGAGTTCTTTTTAAAATGTCTTCTTTCATTTGTAACGGGGGAGGAATGCACATTTCTGCCTTCCGACTGACCTCTAGGCTGCACGTTACGGCAAAACATAGGGCTAATGTACTGGAAAGCGCCAGGAGACGCCAGCCAAGAGGAATGACGGCAAGGCCACAATGGCTGCGCACATCAGAAGGTTCTGGTGGGTCGGGGGCTGGCGTGGGATGTTCTGCTGGTTAAGCAAACCTCGATGCGGAGGCTTAGATCGGAGGACGGACAGGGTGGTGGGCGGGCACAGTTCCCTCTCTCCCTGGCTGCTGCTGCTGCTTCGTTTTTGCTTTTCTACATCCAGCCGAGGAGTTCGAGAGAAGCTTCACTGCTCTCAGACCAGACTCTTAGGCCTGCCGCGACCCGGCGAGGGAGGACAGGTTGAGGCCCAGAACGCATGCCTCCGCCGCCCTCCCTCGATCCAAGGGGAGGGCCGGCCCTGTGGCCGGTTACGAACCGGGAGTCCTAACAGAACCAAATGTCATTTTAAGAAGGATGGAACGGCCACTGAAAGAGGAACGAAAAGGGTCCCCCGACATTTTGGCTGGTCCAGATCCGACCTTCGGCTCTACTCACAGGGTTCTGGCGGGGGAGGCAACGGAGGAGGGGGGTCTTCGGTTGCCGCCGCCGCCGCGTTGGCGGCCGCCGCCTCGTTGGTCATGGACCGGGTGATCCGGCCCTTCCGCCGACCTTGGCTGTTGGCGGTCTTGCGGCCCCTGGGTGCGGCCGTCGGCTCCCTCTCCTCGGGCTCCTCGGGGGCGGCTTCCACTTTGTCCTTCTCTTTGAGGTTCTCCCTGGAGAGGAGATGCCAAGAAAGAAAAAAAGAACCAAAGGGGAAGGTCAGATCCGGTTAAAGTTAAATAAAGAATCGCCACTTCCTGCTACCTTAAATGTAATACGGGGGGGGGACGGATGGACGGACGGACGGGGGTGCTTCTTTAAGCGGCACTCACTTTGAGTCGTCTTTTTCGTCCTTCTCCTCTTCATCTCTCTTCTCCTCCTCTTTCTTCTCAGTCCTCTCCGCCTTCTCCTCCTCGATCTTTTCTTCGGCTTTTTCTTCTTGGGAAGGGCGCGTGATCTGTTGCTGAAATGGAAGCCCTCTGGATTACGCCCCTGGGTTTGCCACGGGGGCCACGGACCAGAGGGGAGAGCGGAATCGCTAGCTGCCACGCTGCAAAACGTGGAAGGGGGGGCGATCCGTTTTCCCCAACCCCACCCCCCAGGACCCGTCAAAGATGGCAAACTCAAAGGTTGCCACCCAATGTTTTGAAACATACAAAGGAGGGGGAAATGCAGACGGTCCCGTGAAACATGCCCACAGAGGATAGGATAGGATTCTGGCCACAAAGAATTTGACACTTCTCACCAAAAGGTCTGGAAATAAAACAATAAAACAAAAACAAAAAACAAAAACCCCAGTATCTTCTTGTTTATAAAAGTTTCCTTCCCTAGTCACCTACAGAGATAATTAATCTCCACAGGTGATCAAGTGACATATAAAGAGCAGGGGCTCCTCCTAAATGAATTTTTGGGTTCCTGAATTTCAAGGAAAGAAGAATTGAATGTGAGAAAGCAGAGTAGACCAGACTTTTAACAATGTTCCCATCCAGCGTGCGCACAGCTAGGATCGTAGGCCCAACATACAAACCAAACTGGGTTTAAATGACCCACAGACTTTGTGGAACGTTAATTCTTCCATGACCGAATGTTCAAAATTTCAAAAAAACCTGGCTTGACTGAGGCAGAAATTAAGCAGCAAAAAAGACAATTAAGCAGCCAAAGGGGACTTTTTTAACGTGTGCACCACCCGTCTCAGAATTTACCAGCCATGGGTGGAAATAACGTTTCTGGACACGGATCAAAAAGTTTCTTTCTGATGACACCCCATGGAATGGGAGTCCATAAGAGGGGGGAGACCACACACCAGAGACACCCCAAATTCAAGTCCCTCCCAGACTTGGAATTGACCAGGAAAAGACTTGGTCTGTTCAATTTCTCCCTTGTCCGAATCTACCTCGCTGGGTTGTTGGAATGGGAAGAAAAAAAAAAGAGTGGGAGCATACGCTGAGCGTAATACAGCCTCATTCTCCTCGGCAAAAGAGGGGGGCTTAAAAAAATGTCATGAAATTAGTTCATTGTTTGGCAATTAAATAATGAAACACACAAACAAGGAAAGAAAAAAACACATCCAAAAATGAAAAACACGACCCTTTCCAACTTAAAGACCATCTCCCCACGGGGATTTCTCTGCTTCAAGAGGTCAGCTAGTTTTGAGTTGAAAATACTCCATCAATATTTAGATTAATGGGACTCGGGGAGGGGGAAGAGTGGGAACCGACAGGAAAGAGCTGGCTTGTATTTCTGACCTGCGGGAAGGTCCCAGAAAACTTCCCTCCGTTGGCCTGATTTATTTAGAATATCTGGCAGGTTTGGGCCAAGGCAAATAATCCCCCACAAAGCAGAGCGCAGGCAAGACGGACTGGGGAGTGTGTGGTATATGTAGGAAGGGGGTTCTAGGATGATGATGAAGATCTGCTGAAGCCAGCAAGGGCTGTATACATACACGGCATATTGCCCTACCCACTTTGATTTTACCACCAGAGATTATGTTATTGCTATAAGACCATTATTAACAGAACAGACTAATACTAGTCAACATAATATTAACCGGGATGTAAATATTAGCATTGATTTGGTACATAATGATTCCATCTCTCTCTCAATGAGCTCAGCGTGGCCGCTGCAACGTGGCGCACGATCTCTCCACGCTTATCCACCAAACAGCCCTATAAGGTAGATCAAGCTGAGAAAAACAATGGCTGAAACCCAGCTGTGAAGTCACGCCACCACGAGTACGTAGGCCCACTGAATCAGGGAGGATCTGGCGAGTCAGCTCCTCCGTCAGTGCCACCGATTCAATGGGCCTACTCTAGTGGTGACTTAACGGGTCAGATTTCAGCCTTCGCCCTGGTTTTTCTCAGCCTGATCTACCTTACAGGGCTGGTTGGGTGGCTCGAGTTTCCGTGGGCGGCTTGAGCCCGTAGAGGTTCTCTTCCTAGACATGGATAAAAGGATTAAAAGGGGGGGGGGAGGCAAAACATTAGAAAAGCTTTAAAATCCGGCAGGACTGGATCGTACGACGCTTTTGGGAGATGCAACGTGGAAGAAAAAGAAGTTTAAAACATCCTTTTTAAACATACGGAAAGCATTGCACCCTTTCCAGCCACCCCCCGAAATGCCTTTGCTTCAAGACGGATACCTTAATTGTCAAAGCACTGGGGGAGAAAAATAAAAGTACTGGAAAGATACGGAGAGAGGACAAAACCACATTACCACTCAATGCTTGAACATTAAAAGGGACGCTCTTAAAAAAAAAAAATTAGCAACACAGAAACTGGGCTTAGGGCTGGACTCTGAAGCGTTCACAGCTGAACCTTGGCATTAACCGGTTATGCCCGGTGTTCCTTTAACAAGATAACAGGCGTGCCAAGGTAAAAAAAGAAGGAGGTTTGTCATTCCTCCCCCCCCCCCCAATGCCTATCGCAGCCCACAATCTACGATGAAACTGAGGAGGAGACAGGCAGCCTTCCCTGACCCTGCTTACGGATCCGGCCAAAACCCTCCCCCCTCCTAATTTTAAACACGCTCCTCCACCCTCCCTGCTGGCCTATTTAAATATATATATATATATCAGTAACGAGATCAGAGCCAGCTTCCTCTGGTGAACTGACTGTGCAAAGTTAGGGAAGAACCTCCACCCCACCCCTCAAAAAAAAAATGAAAGGGGGAAGAAAATAAAAGAGGACAGTTCTGGAAACACAAACCTGCCGTCGGAGGAAGCGCCGCGGATCGACGTACCTGCATGCTCGTCGGGTGCCTAAGAAACTCTGAACGTTCGCAGCCGGGGTAGGGGAGAAACAGAGGTTACGATCGGAGGTATTGGGGGGGGTTTAATAAAAAAATAAGGCAAAGGTTGGGGGGCTCGAAGGGACCGAGAGAGATGGGGGACAGAGGGGGCAGGGAGGAAAGGCCCCTTAGGAGGAAAAGATCGGCTGACCTAATCAAATTTGGATGCCGGCGAGAGGGAAGGGACCATCCCGCAGTGTCATCCCGGCTGCTTAAGCCACCTTGGCAAAGAAGAGAGTCAGGCCCCCGTCCGTCGTCTCACATGCGAGAGTTTCTAATCTGGCCGAGGTCACGGGAGGTAATCCACCCCGAGCAGGAGTGGGGGCTTGATCAGCTGTCACAGACGCAGCCAGGATGGGTTTGGTGGTTTTTTGGGGTTTTTTTTGCCTTCTCCGAGCTGGCCAGCGGCTGCCTCAACACCGCTTCGCTGCTCAGGAGAGGCAGAATGGATCCGTGGCCGCAGTGGCCAGCCCCTCCCCCCCGGGACGGTCCTTGTTTCAGGGGCCAGCCAGGATCCAGCCTCCATTCTCTGCTTCCTCTACCCAAAGGAAAAATCATGTTTCAAATGATTTCTATTCCCGGTGGCAAGTCCAAAAGCTGGACTCGTTTGCTCTCTTTCTGAGCTCCAGAAAGAGCGGAGGGATTTTAGACATTTAGCGGCAAAGGTTTGGCACCCCTTTCAGCCCTCCACCGGGTTTGGGACTACAACTCCCACAAGTCTTAACCTTTCCAGGTGGGGATAATGGGTGTTGTAGGCAAAACAGCTGAGGATTGGCTTCTTCTCTCAGACTTTCCTGCCTTTATCTTCTTCCTACATCTCTCCAGGACACCTGTGGGTTTTTTTCCCCCCCTGCTTATGAAACTACAAATATTTACAGCTAAATCTGAATTGTTAGCTCCGTCTAGACAAAATCCACCAAACCAACCAGATTTCTGTAAACGTCAGGATCACAAGCCCTCATTCATGTGAGGGGCCCTTTCTAGCAAAAAAGTTCACCACTGGATTTCACACTTTCAAGTCTATGTTGATTTGTCGTCCCCCCCCCCTTTTCTTGTTTTTTATTTTAATCAGTGTCATCTCTGTTCCACTGCAAAACTAAGGGCCAGGGTTACTATATAGCAGGTTAAACCAGGTTTTAATATTTAGAACTGACTGTGTTTATATTTTTATTTCCCATTAGTCGACCCACGGCACGAGGCCAAGTGGGAAGCATCCAGGTTTAGAGACACATGAAGTGGGAAGGAACCCAGAGGTCATCCAGCCGATCTCTTCTCAAGCAAAAGGGCCCGGCCCGTCCTCTCAAGAAACCGGACCACAACAGCCCATCCACACCATGCGAGGCCACGGAAGTAGTCCAGGGAGCCACACACACACAAAAAAAGATCAATATGTCCAGGCTCAGTGGCCAAAATGACAGTTTTCCCAGCACAAAACCAATTCACTGACTGGTTTTTCCAGAAGTCTGACCCAACGGTGAATCCCTTGTTTTGCCACACTGGGGGAAGACACAACCAACTTAACAGGACAGCGCTCTTCCTAAGTTGCTCTGCCTAAGGGGTGAGGGTGTATTGTGGTCCTCCAGCGCCCAACCAGCACCGCTAAGGATGCTGGTCATTGTAGTCAAATGCCCGGAAGACCACCAGTTCTCCAGCCTTGCCCCAGAGTTCGAAATTCAGGAGGCTTCCTTTGAGCCTCTGACACCGGGTAAAACCGATGTCGCCCATAAACCACGAAAAAATGTAGAACTTGGTGTTGGAGAGATGCGATTCAGGCCGACTTTTGCGCCCAGCAAATCAGACTCCAAAGAAATCCCATGATTACGTCATCAGGACAGATCGCAAAAAGCAAACAGCCCTGCAAACTCCAGGAGGCGGGAGAGGCTCTTGCGACACTCACATGCTATCAGCCCTTAAAGCTTTTCTTGCAATGATGAGCTACCTATAACATCTAATTCTGGCCAAAGGATATCTACTCCCCAGGGTCTCTCAGACGGACGAGCCTTCCTCTCCCCCGGCTCCATTATCCTTTCCAACTCGAGACGCCAACCGTCAAACTGTATTAGTTTCTCTTTGGCCTGACCTGTTTCAGAGGGCCAAGCTTTCACACGGCAGGTTAGGAAAAGGAATATGCCATTGAAATGGGCCAGCAGAACAGCACCTCACAAACATGCAGACAAGAATGGGCCATCAAAAGAAAGCAATAAAATATAAGATGATTTAAAAACCGACAGCAGGAAGATCAAGGGTGGGAAACAGATGGTCTGGGTCACAAGTTCCCATCGATTCTTACCACTGGCCAGAGATCAGAAGACTTACAATTTTAATTTTATTTTTTTTGGCGTAATGACTATTCATAGCTTTCCCCAACTGAGCTGGGGGATTCTGAGGGTTGTCAGCCCCAAAACGGACTTTTTGTAACTCTGCTTGGCTGGGTTATCCCCAAAACATTGGAAAGGTCAAGAGGCTGATCCTCCCAGATGGTTTTCTTTCATTTATATATTTATTAGATTTATATACCACCCATCTAGAACATGTCTACTCTAGGCGGTTTAAATATAACACAAAAAGTTTTCCACACTCTTTGATGGAGGCTCTGTCCTTTTCCCAAGTTCCTCGAGAGACAGAGAGCGTGTCAGAAGTGCGCCTTGTGAAGTTAAGCCGTCTGGGGATGCCCTAGGAGCTGACAGGAAGCCCGGGACTCACCCCGACGCTGCCGGCTAGCCACAAAATGGGGAAAGGCAAGGCACCACCACCGACTCAAGGATGGGAAATCTAATTTCCATATAATGTTTTTGGGTAGAATCTATAAAGCGCTAACCCTGCAGGGTCGGCGTTCTCCATCATGGACGACCACACTGTTGTAAAAAAAATAATAATGTTAGTGCAGCTGTAAGCAGGGCGTAACTCCTGAACTGCCCATGAGGTTGGTGAGAGGTTCCAGAAGCGGTTTGCCACCACTGTCGGCGAATGCCTCGTTGCATCCAGGTTGCCTGAGGGTTAACGGATCAAATCCAGAACCTGAAAACAAACCAGCCTCAGCACAGCCAGAGCAAGTCCAGGGATATTTCTCAGGCATCTCTGGGTTTTTATCCGGAAAGAAAACCCGTCACGTCCTCAGTAGGAGGAATCACAGGGGAAGGGGAGCCCATGGATTGCAACCGTGAGCCATAAAACTTTGCATAAACAACAGACAGGGTTTATATATCTAGATATCAAATATCCTTTTTTTTCCCCCAAGAAAGATAATAATTAAAAATTTGCCTTTTTCAGTCGGGTGAACCCCAGCGCCTCGCAACACTCAACGCAACGCACCTGGTTCCTCCCACGCCTCTTGCCGTAGTTTCGGCGCACGAGGGCCTTGTAATTTTCGTTTTTCTTAGTCAGATAGTAATACAAGACACAGTCCGGCACATTCTGTAGGGGAGAAGATCTGGTTGAAAACCACAAAAACAACAGCAGCAACAACAACAGCACAAACAAGAAAGGGGGCTAGATTCAAACCAGATTGGTTTCGTGATTTTTTTAGTAAATTCTTTTGCGCTAGAGTTCAAGCCAAATCTAAGATCCGTAAAAAGACAATGTAAATGTCCCGCAAACAAAATAAAGGGAGTCTTCTCACCTTTCGTTCTAAGTAAGAAGCAATGAGGCCGAAGTTTTTTGGGTGCTGGACAAACCTAGGAAAACACACCGGAGAAAGATGAGGTTCCAAACGCCGGCCCCCGTTCTTGCTGACGACCCCTCGCCTGTTGCCCCTTAGCCAAGAAAGCCTGTGTCCGCCCTCCAGTTTTAAACAGACACACACCCTTGAAACGGTCTTTTCTCATTCACAACTGTGTATATAAACCACACGCACTTTACAAGAGATTAAATGGGTGCCCAGCTGTTATAAAAGATGATATATAAACCTGGGATGGGCAGTTTTGGCAAGGCGGGGTGTGTGTGCATTCAATGTTTTGTCCGGCGGGGGTATCCTTCTGGGGCCACACAGAAGACCCCCAAACCACCCTCTCCATGCAAAAAGAAATCAGAAGTAGATGGAAGTTTCAGTTCCAGTTTTGGGGCAAAAAAATAAAAAGGTATCTGGAGGGGTGCAGGTGACACATATAAAATGGAAATTATTTCCCAAGGTTTCCAGGAATTGCTAGTCCCCCCCCTTTTTTGGCCAGAAAAAAGAGGGAACCAAGGCCATGAAAAGAGCACCATAAGCCACAAAGTATGTCTGGGGATGATGGGCACTGAAATCCCGAGATGGAGCTGAAATTCACAATCTTCTGTCTCCAGAATCACGGTTCGATTGTAGAGCTAAGGCAAAAATAAGGTCCTAGGATCTCACGATTTGGAGTCAAACTGATTTAAATAGGAATGTAGAAAGTTACCTTATCTTGAGTCACGGCTGTCAGGGTCCATTTAGCCGGCTGATGGGTCTCCTCTGGACTCACAGACACCCCCCCATATTAAAAAAAAAATCCTTAATTCCCTTCCAACAACCCCCCTCTCTTCACTTCATCAAGGCAAGAGCGCAAGACCAGAAACAGAAAAGAAACTCACATGGACTTTTTAAAAAGTCAATGAAATCAATGAATACACGGGATCAGTATTCATTGATTCACTTCTCCACTGCTGAAAATACGAAATAAACCCCCACCCCCTCCAAAATACATATTTATAGGTAATTCCAGAGTGTATTTACCAGACCTGGCCGCTAGAGGGAGGCAGAGACCGTATTTCCAGAGTGTATTTACCAGACCTGACCGCTAGAGGGAGGCAGAGACCTTGCAAAGTATCAGGTTCGCTACTTTCGTAGTTTGGGGTATCCACGGCGTGGGGGGGGGACCCTGACCCCTCGTGGATCCCGGGGTCCTACTGTATACTCAATTCAGGGTCTTGCAAGACTGTTATTGACGGAGGTGCCTGTTAGAAGCAAACCCCAAAGTCTCATCCCTACTTTCCAAAATATGCGCAGGTCAAGAGACACCATGAAAACTGGGCAAGACTTCAAAAAGGCTCACAAACCAGAAGTCCACGTTGGGGAAACGGTCATGCATCAGGGAATCAGTTTACGCCCTGAATAACAGGGATGGGGGGAAAACACCTCCCAAACCAACACCGAATGGATGGATGTTCGCCTTCCAAGAGAGAAGGTACACTGCTCTCTCCCTTCTCAGTCACATTACTTAACTAATTATTTTACTGACAAGCCTGCTTCCCCCCCCCCAGAACAGAGATCCACAGCAGCCTACCAAAGGAGGGAGGGAGGGAGGAAGGAAGGAAAGAAGGAAGGAAGGAAGGAAGGAAGAGATTGGGAGAAAAATACTCAGTTAAACCTATCAGATCAAAAACCGAGGAGCGGAATGAATTCAAAAGCACATTACTCGAAAAGGTTAAAAACACAGTATCGCCTTTCCGACTTCCCAAGTATCCCACACAGGAAGAGGAAGATCTTTGTCTGGCGGAAAGTTTGATATTTTGTTTTCCTCTGCCCTCCCTGTCCTGTTTTCCTCTTGTGTCGTGGACGCCCGTTCCACAGCCGGGAATCGCCTTTCGAGCCGAAGAGTGGGATTTTAAAAAGCCATAAATAAAATTAAACACGCACGCACGCACGCACACACAAAATGGAATTACTTTTCTTTAAAGATCTCCTTCTCGTGATCGGTCCAGACGTTCATGAACTGCCTGTCCTTGTAAACCTTCATCGGATCTTCCATCAGCCCGTTCATGTTGATAAACTTGACTCTCCTCTGCTCAGCGTCGAACATCATGGGAGGAATGACCGAGAGCTGCCTCATCTGTTTTTCGTTATTCTGACCCGGAGGGGGGGTGGAGGAGAGAGAGAAAAAAGACGCACAGATTTTTTTAATAAGTACACAATCTCTTCTTATGATTAATGGTCGTCCCCCCTCCCGCCACCTTCCTGAATCACCCAAAAATCAGCCAAAAACCCTTTTAGAAAGGGTTGGCCTGTCGGGTGTTGGGGGCTCGGCATTCATGAAACAAGCACTTCTTCCGTGTAAATGAAACGGGGAATCACACATTGTTTTTGGCAACGGCGCCTTTCCCGACCCCACCTCTGGCTCAACTTCTGGGGCGGGCAAGAGGGTGGCATCCTTTCATAAAACGCTACACTCCGCTGCAAAAATCTTAAAGGCTTTGCCAGCATTATTTAAAAATGTACATTAGGAAAACGTGTTCTACAGGATAGGGCTAGAAAAACCGCAAATCCAGAGCGTGTAAGGGTTCTGGAAAACCAGCGGGCAGCCCACTGGATTGGGAAGGGTGGGGTATTTGGCCAAAAACAAGCAGAAAACGGTGTCTTCTAATGAAGGGCCAAGTTGAGTCTGGACTCAAATCTGCTGCTTCCTCAGAGGAACCTGGTGTGAATCATACCAAAGGAAAGAGGCCCTCTGAGCATGGGCGGATCGCTTTTCTTCCCCTTAACTCGCTAAACACCCCACACTGAGGGTTTCCCACCCTTGGCGCAAGTGGAAGCTTTGTGCTTTGGGGGCAGGAAGAAAGAAGGGCAAAAAACGCCGACATGATCCTATCCAGACCTGAGCCAAACCTCCTGCAACAGGTCCCGGGATCTCTACTCCAGTCCGGTTCTCACCTCCTGCTCGGAAAGGCCGTCGATGATTTCTGAGATTTCGTGTTCGCTCCGAGCGATGGTGGCCGACAGGCCGGCTCCTCTTTGCCCCACCCTGCGAGCGAGACACAAAAGGAGAATATTTTACAGACCAGGCAGGACCCTGTCGGCAAGGCAGAGCTTCCATCCTTATCATCGAGTCAAATATTTTTCCATGCCTCCATTTAGAGCCTGCCTTTCTCCCATAATGGGGACTCTCGGCGGCTCACAAGGAGATCAGAAGAGAGAAAGGCTAAACGGAAAAACAAACAGAGCTTAAGAAGGAAGAAAACGTTACGGGGCTGCACCAAAATTAAACTACTCGTGGCGGTAGAAACATCATTAACTTTTTCTTTTTAAGATCACAGTCCCGCTTCGTGGAAAGCGCCTGTTCAGGAGCAGAGGTGTGCAGATCTGTGGGAGGAGTTGGGGTCAAAGAGCCGGGTGCCTGGGGAATTCTGGGAGTTGTAGTCCAAGCACACACGCCGGCACAGCCCGAATTAGCAGCCAGTCAAAGCTCAGCAGGCATAAAAAAATCAGAGTCTTTGAGAACAGTGGTTTGCAACCTTGGGGAAACCAAGGATTCTCGGACTGCGACTCCCAGAAACGCCAGTCAGCACAGCTGGGGGGGTTGAAGGCTTCTGGGAGTTGTAGTCCAAGCACAGCTGGGGGACCCAAGGTTGGGAACTGCGACGGGATCTGGAAAGCGGTGGAGCAGCCACCTAGAAAGCTCCGTTCCTGGATCTGCAAAACGTTATCATCAGAGCTGCGCATGCAGGTGACCTCAAAATCTCAAGCCCACAAACGGGGAGGGTGTTTCTATTTCATGGATCGGGAAGGGCAGGGTTCGAATTCTGCTCCACCCGCTATTCTGAGGGAAATGTGGGGGATTTTTCCCCCTCTTTGACAACCACTCCCCAGATCCTGCTCTCCACCAAAAGAGTAACAGCAAGGGCAGCTGTGGGAGTTGGGGAAGAGCTGTCTGGACACACACACACACACCCGCTCGGGAAGCTGTGCGTTCCCAAGGGCGTTTGAGCAGGACAAACAAATCAATAAAGGGATCGGAGGTTCGGTTCAATCCAAGGAAGGGTTGTTTTTTTTAAACAGACCTTTGGAAGCGTTCCTGCTGCTCCCTCTGTTTCCGGATTTCTGGGAACTGCTTCTCGTAATATTCGCGCGTCTTGCTCTCTTTGGCCTTCCGACGTGGGTTGTTCTCGATCCGGTCCACCTTTTTCTCCCACGCTTCCATCAGCTGATCGTAACGCTGGCAGATTTTCTGTTCCTGGAGATTCACACACACACACACACACACACACAAAGAACTAAGTGACGAGACCCAAGCTGAGGCTGAGAAAGCTATTTTTGCGCGATGGCGGCCAGAAACTGCCCGGTCCTTCTGGGGTCACTCTGCCCACCGTGGGCGACGGAAATAAGTTTTGTCGCTCTCCCCATCTGGACAGAAGCACAGGCTTGCGCTCTGCCCGAATCGCCCCGCGGCGCGTGAGATGTTACACGCGCACACACACGCAAAATGCACACCTACCCTTTGCTTCCTCGCATGATTCCTTCTCTTGAAAAACAAAATCAGCTTCTTCCTCATGACTTGGTTCCTAAGAGGGAAAAGAAAAACAGACCGCCACACACACAAGGTGAGAGAAACTTTCCCTTCACACCCGAACGTTGCACACCAAGAAATCAAGAGCCGGGAATTAAGCCTCTCCTAACTCCACCCTGAGATACTAAGATACTGTATAGGGTGGAATATAAATGTCCTAAGGGAATTAAGAAATACACAAACGGTGACCCATTTCTGAAGTGCTTGTGCTAACAGGAGATATTTCTCATGTGACCGAGGGTCCGGGCAGGCACCAGAGGTTAAATCTAGCCCACCCGGGAACTGTTCAGGCTTAACCATCTGCTCCTGGCATCACCGCCTGGGAGGAGACAGCATTTTCACACTGGGGGGGGGGG